CAGACGTTATTTAATATCCCACTTCAATAGCACCCCCATTGTCGAGTGCGCTGCCTCCACAGTGTAGTAACGTACATTGAAATGAATATGTGAGTGCGTCTTAGTTCTACGCAGATAGTCACTTTCTAGTTTTCGTGTTTAAGACAACGTTACTTTTCCCTTAAAAATGAGGATATGTTTGATGGTGGCTTAGACCTGCTTGCTGCATCGTACTTTCCGTACCGATGGTTTAACTGTGCTTGGGGATGTTGGCTTTAGCCAGACATTACCCTTGAGGTGACATTGTTGCTGATTTGCGGTATTGCCATTTAAACGATACTGCGACGAAGGATCTGAAACAGCTAAATAAAATGAGACTTGGGGTCTTGTGGAATACTTCCAATCATTATTTTTGTATAGTAGAAAATCGGCAACAAGCAAAATTAAAAAGGTCAATTCTTAAATTAATAACAAGCCTGGGACTTAATCTGTCCCATTTAGCTAGTTGATTATTTGTAAAAGAAACCGGTCTTTGGTCCTTACATTTGACCAACTAAATATTTTATTCAGATAATAAGCAGGGAAAGTATCGTAGACCGTTTGGAGTTGTCGGTGTAACTAGTGTTTCCATAACTAGTAAATGTCCGGGCTTTTGTGAGCTGAAATTCGTGTTGAAACACGAAGTGACGCCTACCCGCCAGAATGTAACGCACAATAGTGATTGACATAAGTTCCTTGTCTGTACATATCACAAAGTAAGTCTCGTCTTCATGCATTTCACGCGAGGAGGTCTGACGTGCCCAGCGCCTGCTTGCTTAAGTGTTTTCTGTGTTTTGCGCCGCACACACACACACACACACATGTGCACACGTCACTCTTGGTCATCCGCGCCCTGTGTTGTGTGTTAGCGCGTGTTCGCGGTGGTTGTGGTAACGCCTGTGCACCACGTTGGCGGCACATGGTCCATCCAAATCACAGGGGGAGATTGTATTTATTTGCTTTTTGGGTTTCTGCTAATACAACACCACGAAATTGGTTACCCATCGGTACAGTTATAGCTACTTCCGGGCATGTATGGCGTCTTTTCGGGATTTTTGTACTTTTAGCCAAATTGCTCGTACTAGGGAAGTTCTTACCTGTATTGCTTTCTAACAACACACACTATATCATGCCACGTAGTCCAAAGCTTTTAAATCTTGCCAATACCAAATTCTATCTGGAGTTTGTTGTGCACTGAGTTTGCGACGTTTTCAGGAACTATTTTACGTTTTATTTCGCCGTAGTATTTCAGACCAGTCTGGTCGTCAAAATGCAGACGAAAATCCAACCGTGAAATCCTATTTTGTCATTCTAGTTGGCTTTCCGATTGTCTACTACTTTGGTCCTGTGGGTAGACACAACGCCCTGGTTATGGAGCTTCTCGGTCCGTCACTGGAAGATCTCTTCGAAATCTGCAACCGCCAGTTTTCTCTCAAAACTGTCATCATGATTGCTCTCCAACTGGTGCGTATATGGTTATTTCATAATGTATCCTCAAACAACAGGAGCATGTGTGGTGTGGTTATAGTGAAGCAAAGAAACTGACTTTTGCCTGTTTTATGTTTTAACTATCAATTTTAGTTTTTGTATTGAATTTCGCTTTTCCCAGGTCGCATTTCGACTTTGTCCGGATATTTTTGCACCTATTATGTGTTGATATTTGTTAGTTACTAAACGCCTCTTAAAACCGTTGCTAAGGTAACGATTGAACACAGAGGCGTCCGCAGCCGTCCTCCATTAGATGATGAGAAAGTAACCTCCAAAATATGTGTTGGACACGAATTTTATGGGCAACACGAGCGACGTAACATGTTGGTTATAATTGGGGAGATCTGATCAGGTGATATCAGAAAGCCATCAGGAAATTGGTAATGAGGTTCGATTATGTACGCCAAATTGGTGACCAGCGTAAGTATGGTGGACTACACGGTACTTTGGTTTGCCGTTAACCTGAAACAGTGATGGAAAAGGGGCTGCTAACCAGTACACATACACCTAACACATTCAACATATATGTAAGACCTTGTGGCTCCTGGTTATTTTGTGAGTTTTTCGACTTAGGCCATAAGGTCTTGCGTCAACCTTTGCGTATGTCTTACCTTTCACCAATGTCTCACCATGGGTTTTAAAAGTTAAAAACCGATGCATTTTTTGACGCTGAAATGAATAGGTTTTGCTTCAACGATATTGTCTTCACCGAAAACTGTGGCTTTCCGAGCAAGTCTAATTAGAAACACAGTGACAAGAAGGCACTTGCGGGCAAACGATACATAACTTTATGTATCGATGTACTTGGTAAACTCGAGCGCCCGTAAATTAGGGATCATCTAGGCGTCTATTTTTGTGGATCCGCCATGGTCTGGTAGCTGTTTGTAGTGGTCGAGTTATGCTTCAAGGTATCTGTGCGTACTGAGTCGTCGATAGCTCGTGAGTTTTCGGAAAAATTTTTTCACGCAGTCTTTCTCGATTTTGCTCTTTCATGTGCGTGAGATGACCTAACGCCATCGTTATTGCTTGTTTACGCACATTTAGTGAGCGCTTGTCCGTTTGCGAAAATCTGAGTTGTGTACTTTTTGCTATGCAATGGTTTGATGTGCAGATGCAGTCAGAGAATGTCATAGATTGTTATGCGCACTGTCCTAACTTGTTCTAACTCTTTACTTTAATACGGGGAACCGTATTACAAACAGCCAATTGTTCACATTCGCAATTCCATTGTTTGGGTCAGTCGAGAAAGAAATGACGCAGACTGGATTTTAGTGTGCATGTCTGCGCATACACGCGTGTCTGTGCGTACATGCGTGTGAATTGGTCAGTCCCAGTGTCTACGTGCGAGTGTTTTTGGCAACACAAAAATTGTCGCATCGCGTTGCAGTCAGCTACGTCGTTACAATTATTTTGTCTTTCTTACTCAAATAATTCTTATTTTTAAATTATTTGCATTCCTTTTCGAATTGCCGATTCTGAGCGAAAATACATATGCTGCGCCTTGTTCCCCATTGTGTAGTCTGCATTTTCGTGCGCATAAATAAGGACTCCCGGTAATGTACAGTTGTTTCTGGACAAATATACAACTGTGTTAAATTGTTGACCCATTGTAGCTTCAACGAATAGAATACGTGCACTCCCATCACCTCATCTATCGCGACGTGAAACCGGAAAATTTTCTGATTGGGCGACAATCGTATGATCGGCACAGGATCATCTACATGATTGACTTCGGTTTGGCCAAGGAGTATATTGATCAGGACACCGGAAAGCATATACCCTTCAAGGACCATAAAAGTCTCACAGGCACCGCACGGTACATGAGCATCAATACACACCTGGGAAAAGGTTGGTCGACACTCCGATGCGTCCTCTTTTCTTGTCCAAATTTTAACTCACCACCTCAATTGTTGATTATTACTGAACCTCAAACTATATTCGTATTAACACTTTGTTTGGTTGTGTAGTTATGTCACCTTGTTTAGTGGATATTTTTTTTTGATGAAATCATTCGTGGAATTTGGTTTATTGTTAATGACCTTCACGTTCGTGTTTCATCACTTCGATTTGTTGATTTATACCTAATTTACTCAACAACATCCAACCCTGTTATAAACTTTTGTTTCCAACAGTAATGTACTGTATCAGAAGCTCACTTTACCAACTCCTTTATTTTTTCGACTCCATATTGTAGCGACACGTTAGTTCCCCTTTTATTCTCGTTTATTTTCCGCTAGTTTTAATGGCTTTGCCTGAATAGAGGTTGCCACTGATTAGCATTCCCGGGTGTTAGATAATGAGGTCCTAAAACCCAAAGAGTAACCTCACGACGTGTGTATATGTTTCGATTTGACATATATGCTCAAATGTCAAACGTAGGCACCATCATTATCATCGTATAATAGTTAACATTAGTAAAACAAAAGCCAGCAAAGGCAAAGGATCGCGTGCGTGTCTTACGGCGATTTATTTTTGGCAAAAACATTAAACTACATGAACTGCTTTCAAGTCAGTGTTGTTTCGCAGCTCGATCCTCAGGAACATTAATTATTGCATGTTTGTCTGCTGAAGACAAAAACATGTTGGTGCCCTGATGGGTCTGCATTGTGCACGCACATTTTTCTCTGTACATTACTACACTGTGGAGGCAGCGCACTCGACAATGGGGGTGCTATTGAAGTGGGATATTAAATAACGTCTAAGTAATGCACCAACACCCATCACAACCAGTGGCGCAGAAAAGCGACTCTGCAGTTCCTTGTTACCGACCTTGACACGACGTCTTCACCTCAAAGCATGCTCGTTTCCACCGAATGCATTAATAGACGTGTGGAAGCGGAAAGTGTGCAAACTACACACGAATCGCGTTGGCATCACGCGTTGTACGTCTTCACCAAACTGGTTTACTCAAAGTTAGTCCATGGTGTGGCACGTCGTCTGGGAAGTTGTCGCTTGTTTTGATGAATTGGCTGGTCTGCGACGCTATGCGTTCTACTTCACCACAGTTGGGCCTTGTAAACCGAGGCCACAGTGGTTTGAATGCAGAGCAGTAACCAGCGTGCACGTATTTAAGCCCTGTATGTAAGGTCTATTTAACTGAGAAGATGTAAGGCTTACTCACAAAATAGCCTATCTGATGAAACTCGATGAAGTAAGGTGGTGCAGAGAGCAGAGCTGTGTTCTGCACACACACACACACATTAATTACCATAATGATAATCCTTATATCATTCAAGCCAAGGTAGGTATGGATTCCAAAAAATTCTCAAATCGACCATTTATACTTCATACCAGCCGTGCAGTGTATCAACGACATGGGTCACAACCAAACAAGTTCCAACTCTGCCATCATGTCAAAAATCAAAAAACATCCGAAATGCAACACTCGGTGCAAAATAGGCACACAGGTAAAACTGCATCCCATCCCATCCCATCAGAAGACTTTAAGATGAAGAGCAAAAAAGCGCACCAAAGAGACTAGTTGGAGCATTTTAGTATTCCAACATCGTGGAAGGCTGACTAGTAAAGGGTTGAACTCTACCGGAGTCACAAATGTTGAGTCATTCAGGTGACCAGGTTGACAAATTGTCACTATTTATAGCTTTTTTATGTCTGTTAAATTTCGTTACCTTGCATCTTGGAATACGAGTATGCTTTCTTCATAGTAGTTTGATCACAACTTCTATTCACTACCCCTCGGCTGCGTTGTATTATAACATGAGTAGCAGCCTTTTGTGAATTTTTTGTTTGTCGCATTTCCACCTTGTAGAACAATCCCGGAGGGACGACCTAGAGGCCCTGGGTCACATGTTTCTCTACTTCCTTCGAGGCTGTCTCCCGTGGCAGGGTCTAAAGGCGGACAATCTGCGTGAGCGTTATCAGAAAATCGGTGACACCAAGTGCGCTACTCCCATTGAGGTGCTCTGCCAGGGTTACCCGGGTACGGGGAGTTTATTCCTCATGCCGTTTGCCTTACTTTTAATTAGTCTAGTCTTTTTTTGACATTATTAATTACCAAATATTGTTCATTGTTGGCCTTTTGTAGTATTTTCCAACTTTAGATTTTATTAAACCACCGACATATTACTGAGACTTAACATGGCTGTCTACGTGTTTCTGAAGTGACCAAGGTGCAGGTCTAACTCAGGAGAATTTCAAATAGGTACAGTGTGAAGGGCCAAGCACCAGAATTATTGTGTGCCGGAAATACCACGCTCACACGAGAGGTCTAGTTATTCTTTTAGATTTCTTACCTTAGTAATTCTTTGATACCAGCTCCTCCGTTGAACAAGTGCTTCATAGGTTAATGTAATTACCGTCACGACCACCTGGAAAGCAGCCTTGTTAGGACCTTCACGATATCCTCGTCTTGCCTGTTTGTTTTATGCTTCGACCGTGCGACCCGCCGTCGAACCATTGTTTGTCCGCACAATAGGTCCCCATTGTTGCTGTATACCGTCTTAAGCGGCGACAGTGCTGCTTCATCTAACATTAGCTGTTTTACCTCAGCACACATGTCAAGTGAATTAAGTATTAGATGTGTTTTTTTTGTATTTAGCTTTAGAAGGTTTCATTGGAGTTCTATTTTCACTTCTTGTTGTGTTGAAATCGCTTATCGTGGACCCAAGTCCATCTACGCATATGGTAACACCGATATCACGACCCTAAAAAGTAAAACCCTTGTGTTTGCTGTGAAATACACCAGGCCTAGTTATGAGTAAGAGTGATGCGTTTGATGTCTTTACGCCATCCTTCCCTCCCCCATGCCCAGAGGGCGTTCTGCTATGACGATGCAAAAGGGCATTTGACACGCAACTTATGCAAGCGACATGCCAACCTTAAGTGCACATTTTCAATGATATGCCAAATGTGGGACGACTACTCGACTTTACAACAAAACATCAAACCACTGCAGACTTGCGGCAAAGTTTGCTGCATCTACCTGAGGGCTACACAATGCGTCCCAAATCACTTCACTTCCAGAGCTTGGTTCTCGGTTTTAACACGTTTATCAACTTGTGCTGTGAGCGTCGTCGCGTCTTAATGTCACCCAGGAGAGGCGAGCACTTTTGTGACTTCAGGCCACATTGTCATCGGCAGCTACTTCGTGAAATCGCAAACAATATTAGGTGCTTTGTCCTACACAGGTTGATGCCAAGTTCCTATTTGTGTTTCTTCTCTACGTGTGGACGATAAAGGAAATCGAAAGCAGTCTATCTGTTAACGGCATATGGACGTAGGACATGGACAAGGAGTGACGCATATTATGGGGTGAATGACGCGCTAATGTTGATTAATAGCATGTAAATGGGTTGAGGCCGGGGATAGACAAAAGGGTGTACCGCCGCATGGTCCGTTCACACCAAATAGATGTTTGTTCTTATAGAGTCGTTTCTTCCGATTGGTATGTAGATATGCTTTTTTTCACTACTAGAAATGGCCACCTACCTGCGCTACGTGCGAAGTCTTGACTTTTTCGAGGTGCCAAACTATGAGTACTTGCGGTGGATCTTCACCGACCTCATGAAGCGTCAACGATGGGAGTGTGACTGGGAGTTCGATTGGTGTTATCGGCCTCTTCCTGGTGCTCCAAGGGTGAGCCTAAACATTTCTTATGTTGTTGAAAACTAGAAATGGTTAAAATTATTGGCTGCGTGTATACTCGCTTCTAAAACGCGTGGAAGGTGTTGCCTGTACTGAAGCTTCAGTGAACACTGTTCTCGATACCTTTACTTTAGTTGTAATCAGGTGCGACATTTTCGATGCATGTGTCAAATGCAAATATTCTTGGTGGGCTTGCTCATGGTGCCAGTTTTAAAGGTTCGAGTGTCTGCAGCACGGCTTATCAAAGGGTCCCCTAATTTATGAAGCGATTTTATACAGTGACCACATCAAAAGACCTAATAGGTTCTTCGAGTTTGAAGTAAGTCAATAGTGTTGCTATGGAATTATTTTGTGTGTCTCAGATTAAAGGGAACTGTAGAGTAATGTTAATTTGCCCATTCTAGTGTGATGTGTGTAATCGATTTTTCGGTGAACTCCCGGGGCTGGATTTTCTGTAACTGGAAACACCTCTTAGCCACAAATAAAGCAAGGTATTAAGTAAACATGCATCAAACAACTCGGGCATGGTCCACTGTAGGATCCCTTCAGCTAGACGGGGCGTTTTGGTGGATCTGGGATATTATTTTGCGCTGTAGTCCATCACTTCCTTTAAAACTTGTTATTCCCATTGTTGGATTTGAGAATGTTCTGCTAATCTGCTGCCTCCACCGTTGCCTGATAGGGGAGCAGTTCGGGTCACCAGAATAATATTCCTTCCGCCGCCCCAATTTCAACTCCTCAAGGAACTAACCTCGTGGATCCCCGCTCAACCACTAATCCCGGCCACTCCAGCCAACCTCCCGTCTCTTCTGCCACGGCAAGTCCCAATTTCTGGTCACCTGGCGGCCAGCCTTCAGGGGATGTCGGGTACGCCGTCTCCAGCCACAGACCAAATGATCGAAAAATGCAGGTCAACGGTGATGAGCAGGTGCGGAATCGCTAGCATTTTCGACATGCGTAGTCGTGTGCATTAAATTACTACCGGACACCTAATATATTAACAAACCAACCTTTTGTTCGCTTTTGCTAGTGGCGATCCGCATTGCTTGAGCGTTTTATCCATCTTACTGTCTTGATTGCAGTTACTAAAGATATTGTATTGGGTATTTCAACAATGGATTTGACAAAAATATTTGGGTTTGCCTGTTTTTGTAGCCGTTAGGCGGAGAACCCATGCTCCCCAGCGATATGCCGCTTTCCGATGTCTCCCACTGTATGGCGGCGCGGACTGGCCACTTTCAAACTACCTCCGACCCCAACTCCCAAGCCGTAAACTCCCAAAACATCGCCACCGCTGGAAGCAAGACCTGTGGTGACGCCTCGTCTGGATCGCAGTCTTGCGTGTGAGAACATTGCGCATGCTTAATCCAGCTTATTTATTCAAGCCGTGCAAACAGATATTCTACAGTTTAAATTTATCGTTTAACTTCGGCATATAGTCACGGTCCCGTTGCAATAAACGAATACTGCGGATCTTACGTAGCAAAATATTTTGTTTTGTACATTTCTACTTTGTGATATCGTCAGTGTTGAGCAGCCACGATTTTTGTTAGGTTAAAATTCATACCTGACTAATCATTGTTAGTGCATGGAATTCCACGTCACTTTATCTACTATTAAAATCGATTTTGCCTGCATGTTTTTTTTGCGTTTTCAAAACCCTTTACTTATTCCGAACTCCTATCCACAATTTCGAAGTCTTGAATGCAAATGTTAGCCCGAACGGTTGGCTACAACAGTTTTGTCCATAGGAGTGTTAACATAGGTTGTCGTGCACTTGTGAATTTCTATAGAAATCAATTGCTTTGCTAACTGCCAAAACATTCGAAAGGATTTCTTGCTATGTCATTCTTTCACTGAATCCTAGAGTAACTAGTATCCGCTTGTTTTTCTTAGATGCTGTTCCTGTTTCGGACGTTCAAGGAACCGGCGTTACAGATCCCGGTTTAAGTAGGGCAAATGTTGTCGACTAGTGGCGCTTCTTACGCGAGTTGCTTTTGAGCGTTTGCCTTCCATGCAGCCTGATGCCTCTTCCCTGACCTCCGTCTATGTGTCTACGTGTGTATTTTTACGCTGTTACCAAGGGAAGATATTCAATTCCACAACAATGTCCCAGCCCTTTCCCACGCCTTCGTCTACCCAGCTCGTTGTTATTTTATAAAGCCCCAACTGACGACTTGTGCCCTGTCCGTCTTCTTTCTCCTATATCTAATTTGATGAAGGTTACACACAAAGTGCAAATTGTTAATACGTGTTTAGCATTCGAACGTAGTCAAGCTTTTGTTTCGCCATTACTTTTTACAACTAGGAGTTATCAATAACTCTCCGCCAGCAGAGCAACCTATGGTCACTGAGCCGAATGGCGGATACTGTCGAGACGGGGCCCACATTTAAGGTACTGTAGTTGTGAATTTAAGGAGCGTGCATCGCGTCAATTGGACCAGTAATTTCCGATATTCCTTGGGTAATTAGACAGCGACAAGTCAGCTACTAGATTTTGGTACCTGGTCCAAGTCTTTCACGTTGAATTTCTACAAAGATTATAAACTCGTCTTTTTCTGAATTACCATCTGTGAGTCTGCGCGTAAACCAATGTGGGGTAGTTTTGGTCCAGCCAGCAAACTACGCTTTTCGGTCAAGTGACCACGGCAAATTATGGTTAGCTGGAGTGTGAAAGTGTTCTAAAACGTTTGGGACTTTTATCAGTAGATCATTTGGGGGCGTCATGTGGTGCGCTAAAGCCACTTGCATGAAGCAGCCGTAACTGGTCGGCTTTTCAAGTATTGCCTAGTAATTGCCTAACTCAACAAAAAAACCCGCACTAGAATACGTGGTTTGTCACATTTACTTGACACTCTTAGTGATGATGCCCATTCGTGCTATTGGCCAGCGCACAGGTCACAGGTGGCAAAGTCTAAATGCTGGAAGTAATAAAGGTTCTCGATTGCGACAGAATAATCTCCTATTCGAGGCTACAACAACGTTTTCGGGGTCGGGGTGGGATTCATGTGACTAGTAGAACGTAAGGAAGTATTTGGGCCAGTCTTTGCGATAGTTCCGCTTTTCTACCCACGGGTCGAATAAGATTCGGAAAAGACTGTCCTTTGAGGGGTCATATCCGGCCGCGTATTTCAGCCTAGGGTCCTGGATGGGAAGGGTAAAAAGAACAGATTTGAGTGACCGTAACGAAGTCGAATAGCGTACAAGTAGAATAAGTCCGGTAGCTCTTTAACCAATAAGATAAAGCAGAAATTTCATCACAAAGTTTAGCCTGTTTGTGAACTTTCCGAACAAATGCACCCAAATTCCTCTAACCGAGCATACTCTGACACCTGGTTTGCTTGATACCTGTGTATGACGGCACAAAAAGGTGGAAAAAATACCACTAATTAAGTAAAAATAATAAGATAACTATGGCCAGGCGTTTTCATCCAAGTTCGGAGGGTGTGTCCGGCGGCCTAATACTTTACCCAGTAACATTTACAGGGACGGTCGAGGCAGCTGGTACCCGAGGGCTAATAGCAGCCCGGTGCTCGCATAGGTGGTTCAAATCCTGCACCACCAGAGCCAAAGAAGTATTGACTGAATAATGCGACCGCATCTGGTCTTGGTTATTTACACGGGCGGGATAACGGTCAAAGCGAGCATGTCTCCCGACACGTATCTGGCCGCCTTGTTGGCGGCGTAAAATGAGAATGGGCTATCATGCATTTAAGGAGGGACAAAATACTGAATGATACAACCTTGTAGAGATCCAAGAGGAATTTGCGGTCAAATTAGTGAAAAAAGTCTCGAGGCGTAGAATTCCAAAATCAAAAGCATGGTATTTCGACGGTATAAACAATGCTTACTCGTTTATAAATATGATGCTGCAGTTCCTTGGCATCGAAACTGTACATCCCCTCCTTCATGTCAAGGGGAATGGGAAATTTCTTGAACGGTGTCGAGAACTTTAAAATAGCTGAAGAGAATCTAAAATTATTAAAGTTTAAATGAGCAAACTGTGAAGCTGAAGCCCGAGAAATTGTAGATATTCCCCATTTAATACGAAAGCCAGCAAATTGAAACAAGTCGAATGTTTATAAACGAAAATTAATAATAAAGCTAAAAGTGCCAGAATTACTTTTCTCTATTGTAGGAGGCAGCGCGCTCATTGAAGAGACCATTACGCCATTCGAGAAACTTGTAGTCGTCTCGAATCAGTCGTTCACCTTCGTAATCCAAGTTAGTAAGCTTCTCCATTAACTACAATTCAAAAGGACAAAATGGAAAGTGAGGTGGAAGCGCAGTGATCGGTAAAGTAAGCCTTACATACAATAACAATTTCATTTTCATCGAAAATGTCGGTGGAGGCGCGATCAACAACGAAGATCTCGGAGTAACGGGACATCTTCTCAAGGTAACTCTCCAGGGCTTTATTGTATGCAGCTATGAAGTCGTCGCTCAAATTCTTAGCATCCTTCTGCCAAGGCTATATAACATAAAAAGGAAATTATCAATTTACAGAGATTTTCTATCAGAGACGTCGCGGCCAGATAAAATAAGACAACATAACCATCCTTCAAAACGTTAAAATTATGACCTCAAATAAGGTGGCCGAAGGTTAGCGAACGAAAGGCTATTTGACGACGAAGTGCACGATTAAAATAGCTGCGATCAAAAGTGGGAAATCAGACCGCATTTCGCAAAATCGAAAATATATGGTATATCAAGAGCATGCAATAAATGCAAATGAAGTTCAGATAAGTAAAGCAATGTAACTAGCACAAATGAATATTACTAGCACAATAAACACCGATGACATTTTAAAACTAAGCAGACAAAAGGAAACTTACTGCATTCTTTTTCTTGAGTGATTCTCGAATCTGCTCTTTGGTTGCTTTTACATACACAATTAGATGGGGCTTCCATAAATTCAATGCGGTGTTAGCGTGAACGTAGCTAAACCAATCATATGCTATATTGAATTGCTTTAGGAAAAAGACGAGTTTACCATATTCTGAAATGTATCCGCAGTTTAGCAAGGCCTCAGCAAATGCTATGTCAGAAAAGTGGCTACGTTCAGTAACGCAGCCCTTTCCGGTGTTGAATAATGTGCAAAGACCAATAAGGTAATTCCAGTACCGATTCATATAGTATTGGTATTGCAAATACATCGGCTTGCCCTGTTCTTTAAGGTTCTCCTCAGTCCAAAACATTTCGGTGGTGTAATACTGTGCCTCTCTTGGAAGCATTGTGTTATGCATCCGGACGTCAATTGGGGGGTCATAATTCCTAAGGGTGTAAATATCATCATCTGTCGGATCGGGTTGATGGTCCATTCCGAAGTACTCCGAGATTTTTTTTGCTACATGACCTTTTCCAGAAGCAATGTTTCCCTCAACGCATATAAATTTTGTATTTTCCGTAAACCGGTGCTTTGTATTATCAAACATTAGCCAAGGAGGGTAGCCAGTGCTAAGAAAGTCAAATGGAGGCGGTTTTTTAGGCTCTAAGTCTGCTCTAGACGCAATTTGCAGCCCATGCCTTGAACATGTGATGGGAAAAAACCTAGATAACAAAGCCTTATTAATACGAACACCGGGTAAAGCCATTTGCCAGGACACAGGCTAACGACACAAATAAGAGTATATAAACGCAACCAATCACGCATTTGTAACTTTTGCCTGATAAATGCGACTAAAATTTAGTACAAAAATACCATAATTTCTCCGTGAAGTCTTCTTATAGTCTCAGAAACATGACTAAGGATAGGGTAATAACAAAATTACATCAGCAGAATAAATACATGATAATTAAAAACTAAGATTACGAGTGCAATTGATGTATCGCCTTGTATGGGTAATCAATATCTAGTCTTTTTTTACAAAAATTAATACTTTGGGCTAGAAAAGAAATTTGACTTGATTTTCACTGTTCTAAAAGAATTTATGTTTTAGATTTATTAATACATTTTGTGTCATCTAGGCATTTTGTTCCAGTAACAGTAGTGATCAAACGAAAAGCGTCGATTAATTCAGCTTTCATCAGTTAGCAGAAATGAAAGATCCATTGCAGCCTAATCATTTTTAATCAAGCATAAATGGTATTTTGCAATAAGATACTCGCAGCCCACATTGCTTGTTAGAGAGCATTTGATTTTCCCAGTCATTCTAATCGTGAGTTGCAAATAATGGGTGCTGCAATACCCAAGCTAGTTTTTGTTCTGATTCCTACTAAGCAATACTTACAACTTGTTCATTTCCCATGCATGCCACTCCACACTCCATGCAATCACCAAACTTCTGATAACCGCTTTCCCTATACTCGCCTATATGGACCTGTCGAAACATTAAATTACTACTCAAAATAATAAGAGAGCGAGTTTTGCCTAAAATGGCTATCATATCTAAAGATCTCGAAATCCAATACTAGTACATCATTATATCACTCCCTTTTTTAGATAGCTCACTTCAAATCTCAAAGGAAAGTGCATGCCAGTAACATTCACAATTTGTGACAACGTGACCGTTGAGGTTTGCATTGCTGTCACCCCTGAGAGGAAGGTCTCTACAATGCCACACGGAGGAAAAATTAAAGATGCATTCAGAAACCGTCAAGTTCGATACAATTTCCACAAGAAAATAGTGCAATAAAACGCTTTCCAGGGTAAGTTTTAAGTGCTTTGATTGAGGCCTGCAACACCAGACTAATGGTTGAAGGTACTGTTGTCGTCGAGGTCACCAACTGTTGTGGGCCCCAGCACATGGTCTTGAACCACACCGGGGCCACAAAATTAAACCTGGTCCGATTACGCTTGCCTGATACCCGCGATGAAGGAAAAGGCCGGAGAGGACGGACACAAGCGTTTCTACAGAGGACAACCACGCTGGTGTCGTTGTGTCGTGTGTGGTGCTTGCGTGTTTGTATTTATACCTCGGATGTGTGAGTCTTACTTTTGCTAACATCGAGACCTATGTGAGGGGACACTCCAAAATAAATATTCGCACTAATGAAGGGGGAGTTGAGGATTGGAGCGGCTGGCGACATGCTGCAATAAGAGGAACCCTGTGTAGGAGGTGGAGCGTCTGGATTAGGGGGTTGAATAAACAGGATTCACAACAGTACCCCTGAAAAATCTGACTGCATAAAAGTCCCCAAGTAGGAATTCAAACGGTTGCTTTTACACCTACCACATCCCTGTCCTCCGTCCAGATCTGTCAGACAAAAACCTTTTCCTTATTCAAGGCAACAAATTTCAAACGCAAGAAAACGGATTCTCAAATACCTAGATCCATTCTTGCGTAAAATACCCACCACATGTCATTTAAATAAATACATTTAGGTATTCCAAATATGTCAAATGTGATCAGGCTTGTGGTGTTGAACACGTGCAGTAATGCTAATAAAAGTGCTAGCGTTGTCATATAATACAGCCAAATTTATGCACGTCATAGCTTTTATTTAGACGTGTAAGATAAGGCGCATATGAGCAAAACTATGTTAGTTTAAATGTTGTACTTTCTATGTGTATCGAGGGGCTCAAGAAATCATAACATTAGACTGGCAATAGCATATATTCCTTTACGACTATATCGCAGTACTTAATACTGAATTGCATGCAACTTAATGTTATCGCTGCAGAACCTGTAATTTGGAGCTAACTTTTGGAATATTACTGGCGCAAACAAAGTTGTCTTTGGAAATATTTAAGAGTCCGAAATGTAAATAACTACAAAGAATGCGGATAATGAATCCCAATGGCTTGTATTCGGACAATATAGATATGCAAATTAAGGAAAGATGTGTGAATGCTTTAAGCAATTAAGAGTTCTATCCAGTATGCCACAAAGCTTGATAATTAGCAGATTAAAAAAACTGCACTTCAGTCATTGATGGAGAATACTTTCAAAGATATTTTTATACACGGAAATATGAAATATGTAACCAGGTTTTTACTTTTATCGCTTTAGTGTAATAAAATCTGGCCTAAAATTATAATTTGAAGCCCAGTATTTTCCGATCAGGGAAATCGCACTCACATACCTAGATAATTAACCTAAATGGTGTTTTGAAGTTGAAGCTTGAAGAAATTCGAAAAATCATAATAATCCCTGAGTTCTCGTTGGTCGGACCGTAAGCATCCTTTAATCTGCTTGAGGATCGAGTGGGTAAATAATTCAGCTAAAATACTTCGCTGGTAATTAAAATATATTCAACATATGGATTAAAAACTAAAGGTGCAATTTACTTAAAAATTTCTTGTGTTGACAACATAGTGTTAGAGCGTACATCTGAATTAAAATGAGATGCTATGTTGGTTTATGTATTTGCATTAGGGATTCCACGCATTTTAACAAGACGATTTGAACGTATGTTTTAATTGTCTTCATTAATCCTTCAGAGATCATCATCGCAACCATTTGACAAGTATAGCGTTGGTCGATTTCTGGTGCTGTAATTTATTAATGTGCTCACAGTTTATTTTTGTCTCAAAATTTGTCGATTTTCAAAGTGGATAGGTCTACTAAATTGATTTGATCCACGAAAATGATTCCTAAAATTAATGTTACATCATGTTTTTACTTGTATAATGTGTATTTACTGGGGTTGTGTTCTCTGTTGCACAGTGTGGTTTGTTTAAGGCAAATTTTCGTACGATATGTTTAGGGTTTTTCTGTCATGAATTCAATAGCGCTTATAGTTAAGCTATCAGCGGGGATACTGTCGGCCTGTTCGACAAATACATGTGGGTTTAAAGATTTATAGTGTTAACGATTTAAGGGAGTCCCTGGTTATTTTTGCAGTGGATTTAGTGTCGTGACAACCTTTATTTGGTGGGTTTCTGAAACGATTGCTAATCTGTATGAGTTTCTTATAAGTTGCCAATTTCCCCTCATATTTAGCAGCATAATGTGCGGTCGTTCACCTCGCATTACACTGCCACCGTCTGACATTTCTTAATTATTCCGCAGTATTCTTTCTTGACTCAGCCATCGTTAGTCAGGTACTGCTTTCGAAATTTTTCGGCACGATGGTCAAGCATATTCCTACTGTAATTTATCTCATTGCAACTGGCTTATTGTTCTTCTTTCACTTTATTTCAAACTACTTATTTTGCATCCCCAAAAATGGGGCTATTAAAACGGGAGTTTCTTCAACCCAGAATAAGTGACTTTTTCGTTTAATTTAGGATGCATTCGCCTCACTGGAATCCTCAGTTCACTGCACATCCACCTTCCCTCCATTGTGACACCAGGACTGCCTCAAATACGAGTCTCATCGATTGGGATAAAAATGTTATCAATTATGTGTATTCTTGCATGTACCCGGAACCGTATCGTCCTACCCCTTTTGTCCTGCCGTCGCCCACTACTTGCACTGCCTTCCGCAAGGCGCATCGCCGGATTGTTTCTGCAACTTCATCTCATGCCTTCCAACGCACCTCCACAAAACACCCTCGTCTTATCGTTTCACACGCACGAGGTCACATGCGGAATGCCTCCGATCCTGGCATGCATATTTTTTACCCTCAACCCCCGAATGCTCCCATCTTCCTCCCTACCACAACTACCGTCGATGAAGAAAGAAATATTTCTAACGTAGAAGTTCCAGTGCGTGGTGTTGAGCATGGTTCCTGTTCCGAAGTGGACGAGGATGGCGTTAGGTCTCCCGGGAAGTTAATTTCTAAAGGCCCTTCCGGCAGCAGTTGCCCCGTACCAGGGCTACGCTTCTGGGCAAATTCAGTAGTCCTCCTGATTGCCCTTTGTGCTATGGCATTCTTCCAATCAATGGTATCATCGGGCTATTTAAGTAGTATAATTACCACGCTTGAACGGAGGTTTGATTTGACCAGTCGTCAAGTTGGATATATATATTGTTGCTATGAGGTGACCTCGGTTCTTTCAACAATCGGGTTTTCATTTATTAATGTACGAAAAAGGAACCGTCCAAGAATTATTGGGGTTCTGGGGCTGGTCCTCGGATTGGGGTTCTGTTTTTTTGCCTTGCCTCACTGGCTGTCGGGACCTTACAATCCTAGTGAGTTTAATAACGTCGCTGCAAACAAGATTGAGCCCCTTTGTTCGGTGATTGATGTAAATACTACTGTCCCGTCTCCACCGTCTTTCGTCGACCGTTCTCATTGTAACTTAACGGGTGTAACCGTTTTGAGGATTGGTGAGGAATCGGTTCTCTCTACGGATTACACGATTGCTCTTCCATTTTTCTGTTGTTCTTTGGCTGTGGCCGGTTTCGGATCCAGTTCCCTCTTTGTACTTGCACCCACTTTTTTGTGGGACAACCTCTCGCCGCGGCAGTACCCCATATATTCAGGCAAGTATCTTTTTATCTTAGTTATCTCCCGCGTAGTTCACGGTATTGTATGCGGGAAAACTTTTATTTATCTCCTTTGTACAGAAACATATCTTGCCTTTTACCAAGGGTTACGACTGCCCTACTATTTCAGTCTTTCGTCTACATTTGACCTTGTTATTGTTAGGGAATGTCATCAGTCTGCATATCTGGTGCTGTGAGTAGAGAAAGTAAGAATTCAACTTACGTGCAAGAGCCCCTTTTACAAAAGTGCTATCATCAAGAGACTCCACCCAAATGGAATGCCCCAGGTTTTTTAACCTTTATTAGCAACTTCAGTGTTACCGAATTACGAATTAAAATGTGATGTTGGCTATCTAAGTGACTTCTAAGTTGGCGTTTTATGTCATTTTATTTTTAAAACTTATTCCAGTTTTCCAAAAAATGAACTTGTCTAATTCTTAGTGGTTTTGCAGGCCTTCTGTACAGCTGCGCTGGATTAGGTCCGGCGTTTGGTTTCATCGCAGGCGCTGCCTTCCTTCAAATCTACATTGACTCTCCCTCTATAAATCCACCGCCTTCATTAGACGTCTACGATCAGTCCTGGTTGGGTGCATGGTGGTTGGGGATGGTTATTTTTGGTGCTCTCAGTTGTATTCCAGCCCTACCCGTTCTCGGTTTTTCTCAAAATCTATTATCCAAGGTCGATTCCGAGTCGCTTACTGTTCCTACTGCTTCAACTGCCGAAACGACTGTGGTACGTCTTAAATTCACAACGCGTCTAGCACCCGCGGTTGTTTTCTTGCTTCAATAATTCCCTCGAGTAATCGCTCTTCGTACTCAACTATTCCGGATGAGGTTATTCTCAAGAACTAAGATCAAGTGAAATATCCAATGTTTCATTTTGACAGGTACAAATCATTGCAACGCAGATAAAACAATTAAAAATGCTCTCTGATAGCAGCGCAAGGTCATTGCTATTTGGACAAAGAATCTAGACAATTCTGTCAGTACCAGATATGTTAAAAAATCAAACGTCAACGGTTCTTCGAAGCAGTTTAGTCGCTGATGAGTTTTTGTGAATCTGTATATGTTTGTTTGTAACGAAAGGTAACAAAACACGTGCGTTAATGACGAAATTTTGATTGTGAAAAAATCCGCCTTTTCCCTGAAGCTGGTTACTTTTTACACAACTCAGGTTCATGCAGTCGAACGAAACTCTCTCCCTTATCTAATTCATTTTTATTATTCAAATGTTCTTCTCATACATAGCTGTCTGCTTTGCTCGGATTAATGGCTCTGTGACTTCATTAGTTCAGTTGCGTTTATCCACGCATTTGGTACGACCCATCTTGGATCTTCGTTTGTCACGGTTCATACACAGATGCAACGCCCGGCCCACTCAGTTCTTTTTTTCTAATTATGCCAGGTTTTAACTCCTAAAAGTGGGGCGAAGCCACGTATGGCCACTGGCGACACGGTATCCCATGTACCGGTACCTGTTTCGGAGGTCTCTTCTGCCCCTCATTTCCCTGAACCAATACCAGAAGGCAGTGAATCCCTTTCCCGAACACCAACCACCATTACCAACACCGCTTATGCCGACCCTGAGGACATGCTTCCCAGCGACTGCAAAATTCACCGAAGGCAATCTTCTAAAAACGACTTCGATGCACAGCTTCGGTTGTGTGAAAATGAGATGTCATTGGCTTCATCCCCGAAAGGAGGTCGGCGAAAGGGACTAACTTTGTTCAAAAGTGGTTTTTGCGGATCCTTTTTCAGAAAGTGTCAAGGTTTGTCATTCTCCAAGTTAGCTTGGTAACGCCTTTGATTTCCGTATTCATTTCCTAGCGTTCCAGTGCATTAGATGCATTACTTAATTTTTACAGATTTTTCAGCAGACATATTTAATGTAAGACATAGAGAAAAGCGAATTTAATCTTGGAAATGTTGCTCATCATTTTCTATGACCTTGCGCCTGCTCTCAGGTAATGTACGAATGCCGTCACGACTGAAACTTGCAGGATTCGCCGAATTTACGCACATCGTCCAGCTTTTTCAACTGTTTATCCACTAAGTTCGTGCTTAATTGACCACGTCTGGTGAGTGTGCCGCGTGTGAGAGAACTTCCCATCTCAGTTTTAAGAGGATCTGATGTGTCAAGCCTTGTCATGCCTGCTTCCTTGCCCAGTAAATGGCTCTTTATGATCAAGTTCTTCGCTCAGTTTGTTCAATTGTCAGCTGTAGCTTTCCACAGTCACCGTTTGACGACTACTTCATAGGATTTCGTAATATAGTGTACCATTAATGTCTCACCAGAAACACAGGCGAGCGTCAATGTACTGGCTTGCCCAGAATCTATCTAAGACACCTTTTAACCTTTGGGATTCTCGTAAAAAAAATACATTTTATCACCCATGACAATTTTTCACATGTAGTCTTTTTTTGTTGTCTGTGGGCAAGGAGTGAAAGGCATGTGTTCATACGTTAACCTAGGTTGTGTTCTGTCAATACATGTTGGGAGATCCAGATTCCTAGTTTTTGAAAATTTTCTATGTGGTTCAAAAGTTTGCAAATGACTGAGCTGCAACCTCTTGATGCGTTGGCGTTGAGTCTTCATCCAGTCGATCTCGCAGTTGCACATCTTCAAATTTTCGAGGCTGTCTGGGAGGCGACTGGTCATTAAAATCAATATCAACATTTCTAACATGTTTTACCAACAATTACACGTTCAGCAAGACACAACGCCGCCACCAGGAACACTAAAAATTGATTCCTGTGCTTTAAAATCTTTTTTTTCCTTGTTTAAATTCGTATAAATTGCAGTACCTAATATGCTGTTTTACGATTTGCCGTCATAAGCTCGCCTATTCTCAGAGGCTATGCAACTCACGCAGACTTGTCGTTCGATGTTTTAAAACCTTGCGTTCGATCCTTTTAAAACCACGCAAGACCTCAATAATTTTTGTGCTGTAAATATAATTTTAAGCTCGAAGAAAAAATCCCTAATATCCGCGTAACGAGTTAAAGCGAAGGAAAATCACGTCACCTTCGGAAGACACTGATGCGGAGTCACGGTTAAGATTAAAACCTGCTTTGTCGGCTGTTAAGTAGCAGTGAAGTCCGCCACTTTATGAGGCTTACAATGCCCACCCCTCCAATAATGATGATGACGGCTGGGTAGGTGAATCAGCAAGTTCGAATTTAAATGCTTGACTCACGACACACATTAAAGTCAATCTATGGGCGAGAAACGTGTCAGCCCACTTTAAGACTCATTTTTTTAGAAATGCTTTTGTGGCCCACGTTATAGGTCGCTCCACTGTATTGAAGAGAGTAGTGACAAATCCCATATGGCTCGGTGTAACGGCTACTACCGTAACGGAAAACACTATTGTCTCCGCCTACCTCACGTATGCTGCGAAGTACCTGCAGGCGGAATTCCGAATTCCAGCTCATTTAGCCAGCATTCACACCGGTGAGTTTTTTGGCATTTGTTTCCCGTGCAACTAAACATCTCTGGTAATTTGGCCACAGAATTCGTCTTTCATAGTCACAAGTCATACCACTTATGAGTATTTTTTGTTACCTATTTCTGTAGATTAATGGTTAATTGCTTTTCACAAATCCGAAAGTGTAAAATGGCTATATTTCTATCAGATACACTAGTGGCTAGTTAAAATCGCAAATACAATTACATCTACCTCTATTTGCTTTGTCACTGGATGGGCTTCTGATACGCATTCATTTTAATGTAATATCGTTTCATTTAGGAGGAGTCGTTGTACCCAGCGCTGTCCTCGGAGTACTCACAGGGGCTTTGCTGATGCGCCACTTCCGGCCCTCTATCACGAGAACCCTCTTCGCTTCCCTTATTCCCCTTTTGGCGACTCTTGCAACTGTTCTTATCCTTATGCTGGGACTCGGATGCCCGAAAAATCAGATGGCTGGTGTTACAGCCACTTACGACGGTAAATCGTAAGTTACCTCGAATTTTTATCCGCTTAAGAATTGCTATTGACCTGGCAGTAATTTCAACAGAAGTAAATACAAGTGACGTAAGCCCTAGTTTGGCACATCGAAGTGGAAAAAAGATCAAGACGTAAATGTGTTCGGTATTTGGTTTCACCAACTTCCCTATTTCATTGTGTCATCAAAAGCGCAGTTCTATTTTTTTTAGGGTAGCTGCTAAATCACAGATGATAATATTTTAACAGTTAGAATTACTTTTTTCTCCAAGTCACCTGCAAAACCGCTTATGGCATTCCGCTTGTTACTCTGTCACAACTGTCCAGATTCACGAATTGTTGGTTTAAATTTTTAAGCACTTCGTTTCATACGTTGATAAGGACTGGGACTGTGCGTACTAGTTCGCTGTTCGCGTTCAGGTTTCCACAGTTATAACATGGGCGGAAATTTATGCCATTTTTGGTGATTACGAATATTGTAAGTAAAGTGAAGTTAATCAACTGTTTCTGTGTGAAGGCCGAGGTGAACGAAAAAATTGCGAACTCGATGGTTGAAACAGTTTGTATTTCAATGGAATTTCGCGTTATATTTTTTCAAATAGTCTACTTTTTTGCTCCGGATTGCCCCCAAAATGGCTAAAGAAACTAAAGTGATGCAGGTTTTAATGTATACTTGCTAAGATATGAAATATCTGTGAAATGTTGCGCTGTAAGTCCACGTGAATTTTAGATGCTAGTTAGTGCATATGAATAAATTGAACGAAATGAAATGGCGATTTTGGTTGAAACAATTTTGGTACGAAAAATGTGACTTAAATCATGCGGCAATCGTGGTGTTCTACACAGACTCTTCACCAGCTTCACCATTTGTGTGACTGACAGTTACTGTGGTGAGGTCAGTCACAATCGATCCATCACTCCACCACCCCGATAAGGGAAAATTTATATTCGTGTATAAATCATTTGGAAGGGGGTAGCGGCGGGGTAGAGGTTATGTCTAATTTCATCGTTTTCGATCAGGCTTCAGCGATTTATTAATCGGTCGGCCAAAATTAGCGACTACCGGAGTGATATTGAGATCCTAATGATATCCACCGCTCGATTTAATCCAACTTAAACTATCCACAACACGTTGATTCACCACAAAGTTGATCTTGGGTTCTAATTGTTCGATTGACTTCTTTGTTCAATTGGTCTCTCCAACATGCATCTCATGTTTTTATTGTATTATTGAATGTGAGTTGAATCACTGGTACGTGGTTGTGATTAAGTTTACTACACCGTTAATTTCAGCTCCGAACTTCCGGCGTTAGTGACGAACTTTTTGCCGAATTGATTGGTAATGCGTTGCTACTATTAAAACTGGATGTCTAACATTTATTAACTTGCGTTAACGTTCACATGTGCAACCGTAAAATTTTATGTTTACATCTCTCCAAAGTGCACGCATTTTGGGCAAGACATTACAGGGGAATTTAAAATCTACCAAATGTTCTTGAATGTAACCAAAGTAGCTGAATTTCGAAAATTTGTTTTTTTTTAAAGATAAAATATTGTCTGTTGGCAAGAAAGTGGTTTCTAATTGTCAAGTAAATAACGTTATGCCTGTTTTTCATCGAGAATTTTCCATCGCCTTGTTTGTATCTCGCGTTTTCTGTTTGAAATTCTAACGACTCCTGCGTGTAACCTCTGATGATTTTTTTAAATTTAATTTGGAATGACTTCCCATTGCGTCTTTCAAAGTGCCCTTTTGCTTTCCAGGGTCTTGTATATATTGACTTCCTAATTTGTTTATCGAAGTAACTCTGCATTCGGCTTTGTGCCTTATGTCAAATTAGGTGCTAATAACTTGAAAATTTTGCTGCCTTGTAGAAGTGTTTGCGCTCACTTAATTTCCGTTAAGTTAACATCCCTATATATCTCATAATGCGGGAAGTTGGCCTTTTGAATATCTCCTTAAGATGTGGGATTTAAGAGCTAACAGCGTAGATACTAACCCATGCAAATTGTTTGGGTTAATGTGAATTGCTGTGGTAAAGAAGGACCTTCAGTTTAATAACGTGGTGATATTTGAAGGCTCGAAAATCCTCCTAGAGGGTCCTATAATAATTGGCGCGATTTTCGTTGTAATCTTTTCGGTGTGATAGTTAATCGGAGTTGTCGATCTACAAGATATTTGCTACCTGCGGGCCCGCTTATTACCTCGACGTCTCCTCAATCGGGCTTCCGATGAATTTTGAGTATGGCCTACTTCCTCTTGGGATGTGATTATAGTTAAAAATAAGTTTTTAAGGGCTAAATTTTATGGAGTAGAGAAGTTTTCAAATAGCTCAAATTTAAAAAAACAATCTCTTGGCCATTTTACATGCCTTGTTTGAATATACACGGCTAATTTTTGATATGGTCAAGTAGAAGCGCATGTGTTATGAGACGAATGTTTTCTTAATAAGGGTATCTGAATTAGGTCGGCGTTTCGCTTTCTGGTTTTGTAATCAACCCAAAAAATGATTGCCTTAAAGTAATTTTGGCTTTCTTGTGTCGTAGGCTGCCTTCTTACCGACAGATACTAAAATGCTCGGTTCGTGTTCCACGTTTGGTTTTATCCACCTGAAGGTATTGTCGGGTATGGTCACTACAATAGATTTAGTAACGTAGCACCTTGCGGCGCTTAGTGGCACGGAGTTTGAGGTTGCTTTTCCCCACAAATTGAAAAAATACAAAAATTCCCATGGTTATTTTTAGCAGCTCAGTGCGTAACGAAGGAAAGTACCAAAATGACATTTCAATTGTGGCTTACAATGAAGCACTGCAATCTCACATTCCTAACTCTAACTTCCTTTTTAAGGAAAAAAAGAAGGTCCTAAATCACCTTGCTTTATCTTTTTAGTTACTGGCAGTCAGGTGGGTCATTTCTTCAGAACTCTTCAAATCTCTCAGCGGCTTGCAATTCGGGTTGCAGACTGACTGTTTCGGGGCAGAATTTTTCATGTCCTCTTGCCTCCAACTACAATCCCGTCTGCTGGAAACAAACTTCAACCCCAGTCGGTGAGCCACAAATGCAGATGTCCTTCATGAATCCGTGCCTCGCTGGGTGTGCAGGGTTTCGACCCAAAAGCACTCCCGACGGAAAATTGGAGGTAAAATTACACATGTGCTTTACATAGTAGCCTGGTTGTATGTTTGTTCTGTAGCCTGGTTTAACGTTTGTAGATTTATGAGAACTGCAACTGCGTGACAAACTCCAGTCTTGTTCCGGCCGGTGTGCACTCTCTTTCTGACCCCGTGCCAGGCGGAACTGTAACCAGAGGTGTCTGCAGCCCACAGTGCTCCAACTACGTGCCCTTTTTAATAATAACTTTCATCACTATATTCCTGACTAGCATCAACCAAAATCCGAGCAACGTTATCACTCTTAGGTGCGTTCCTTTTTATATTCACATTCTAATATATCTATTTTGTGTACGCTGTTAATGCGGTTCCCCTCCCCTAATCAAAAGTCCTAGTTACCGTCAATTTTTGAACCAAATCAAAATTAACTAAATTTGGAAGCGTCTACAAAGTACATTTTGTGCTCACAGTCAAGTGGATTCGCATTATAAAATACCTTATGTGGAGAATGTATGCACGATTTTGTTTTGCAATGCGTTACCACCGTTCACGTTTGGGTTAATTCTCGAGTAATTGTCATCCGGAAAAGTTTGTCTTGCTTTATATTACCTAGTCTACAGGTTCTTGGCCTCTTATAATGTTACTTCTCTTCCTACTGAACAACTTATGTTCTTCCATTAACTCAAAATGACTTATGGGCTTGCAAAAATAGGTTTTAAAACAGCCTACTTGTGAACATCACAAAACGACCATAATCGACGTGTCAATGATGCAATAAAACTTAATTTCGCAGTTAATACACCATTAGTTTGGTTCGCAATCGTTTATGAAATTTTGCATAATCTTGTTAGATCTCAGATAACGGGGTCTTCAATCTAGTTAAAAAATGATTTTAATCGCTCCAAATACGTTGAAGAGGGATTTCTCCTGATTATATAGCCTGACGGCATTTCGCCAAGTGGGCCTTTATAATAAAATCGGCGGTAAACATTCAAGGTTCCTTTTGCACACCAGTAAACTTACGCACTCATAAAGCGAGTTGAATCGAGGTTTCACGCTCCTCGGGGTTTCGTAGCTGGCGGTGCGTTTCTGCCATTGGTCATTGTACCTTCGGCTAAGTGGGATTCTGGCTTGAACCAAAGTCAGCTAAATCACGCTTTCAGTGTATGTCGCTCGCTTGGGCTGGCTGCTACCTACGAATGGCTATGCTTACCTGTATGTAAGCAGCGCGTTTAACTTCACCACTTATTTTACCTGGCCTATCTGGAGAAATCCTGTCAGCTCGGTCCTAAAGACAAAACCTGTTCTTACCAAGGTCGCTGGTCGCCCTTTGAAGGTTCTCAATAATACCAACATTTCTGCAAGCAAAAGTCACTCACCAGGTCTACCTCATTACTGATAGATCACTTTTAACATATTTGAATGTGAAACAGAGAGAAAGTGGAACGGGAATGTGACACAGTAACCGTACGAGTTTGGTCAATCATTTATTATAATCTTGGTATCAGGCATAGCTTGTGCGTAGATGCGCCTTGTACTTTGCGTTCTAGATTATGTATTATGTTTTTACATCCTGGAACTGTTCGGGATTATCTACTTCACAAACGTGATTTCATTGATAATTTGTTTAAACGAGCAAAAACTAGTTTTCCCACACGCACTGCGTATCTACCCAACCATTTTTGGTTTTTCTATAAAGCTGTACGGGTTTCTATAAATGCATTAAGAGGAAACTGTGTGCTGATTCCTTGCTCATTAGCTATTCACGCGTATCCTTGACAAAATTATTGTAATTTTCCATCGTGTTTCATTTTCAAACCGACGTGGAAACAGACCTTTCCTTGTAAAACGTTATTGCAATATAGATTAAATGCAATTAGAGCCTTATTTGCTTGTCCTAGTTGTGTGGCTCCGGAGGATGGAACAGCGGCTCTTGGACTCCAGGTATTTTTCGCCCGAACTCTTGGTAGGTGTTTGTTTTGTTTCATCAATTTACGCGCAGAAACCGGCTTTTTCATGATGCTAAAGATTGTAATTCATTACCTGATGTCTTACTTGTCGGTTTTACGTCCTTTTTACTTCCTATCATTAGCCGGCTTTTATTTATAATTTATGTGCATTATTGTGATGCAGAGGACAATTATTATTCACACTGCAACTCATATATGCAAAAACCCCATAATTGTTATCATTCCTGGGATTTATCATGAACCTGGTGTTTTTAGGGATTACTTACGTTGCACTTAATTGCTTTACTCTTGTATATCTTAAGACGTGAGGCGAAGTTCATGATTGGTGAAGATAGTGCTTTCTTGTTAAGGACCATAGTAAGGGTAAGAAATGAATGTTGCCTAATTAAAACGATTTTTTGTTAGAGCTTAGTCCAAACACTTGGCCCGTCTCAGTGATGTAGGAAAAAAAAGTATTTGGTGATCACAAGCAAGAAAGTGCTTGCTGAGAAACCCTTACTTTCAAGGTCAAATCTCTGGCTAATAATTGGGTTTGCAGTTTGCCTATTTACTGCAAGTTATCTTAGGCTTGTGTACACAGCGCTGAAAATCCTGGCATGATTGTACTCGTGTTGAAGAACTTTGGTCGCTCACAATCACGCTGTTCGCGGCATTTCACATATTGCCGTCTTGTGTCTTGAAACCACCTCGAATTGGTAAAAGTGAAAATATTTAGAATTGGTGTTATGTTAACGCTAATCTGTAATGTTCAGGTGACGAAGAGCACTTAATCTACTTTAGAAGACAGCTGTTAGAGTTCGCATATTTTTATTTCCAAAACTACAAGCTTTCTTGCAATCACAGCTTTCATACCGACGCCAATCTACTTTGGCATGCTAATGGATCGAACGTGTTTGGTGAGATCCGTGCCCTTGCGTGATATCTGCGAGTCGACAAGCCGCTCTTTTGGCCTCTTCTCGATGCTGTCGCCCTTAGTGAGCGTTGAGGGTGCTTGCCTCGAATATGACGTCTTCTCGTTGCCGTACGCTTGGCTTGGCGGTGTAACTGTCTTTAAGTGCCTCAGTATCATCATCGTCGTGTTAACGTGGCGGTATTCATGGTAGGGTCTCATTTTATAACTAAATTCAATTGAAATTAATGCGAATCAGTCTGAGTGAGTGTATAGAAGGAATCTGTAGGAAAGATAGATATGCATGAAGGAGTTTAAATCCTTCCGTCGTGGTCGACCCATGCGTATTTGCAGGCTCTCGTGCGCCACTACCTTCGTACTAACTTGTGTATATCATTTCATTCCCAAAATACTTTAATTTCGGCTGTCATGAAACACTTGCCACTGGCAACAATTCACTCAAACCGACAGCATTCTGCATCCCAGTAGATTAATTTACCGCTTTTTAAACGCAGTTTGCATGCATGTAGTCCACATTTTAACCTGTTTTATTATGCTCATGTGTCGCCACCGCTGTCATCTCAACTGCTTTGCATGTTTTAATGTGTGTGTTACCAAGACTGAATGCTATCATGACTCAGCACTCATAATTGTTACCGGACTAACTGGCCCTCCTTAATTTGCGCTTTGTAATGGCTTCTATTGATACCTGTGGTTTTCAGTCGTTTAGATCACAAAGAAAAACTCAAAGTCGTTCTCGCGGACTTGGAGAATTCTCACCTTCCTGGAACGTAAACATGAATGGCGTGTTATTCGGTCTTTTTCCTACGACTGAATATTTTGTGCGTGGTACGCGCCACGGTTTCCATTAGCATCGCGGCACAAAAATTGTGCTTCGTGTACGCCTGTGCTTATGTTTGTGTACTACATTTTAACCATACAGTTCCGTGTCTGAATTCCGATACTCATATCTATTTCCATAATAATAATTTTGTACCTCTTTAATATGCAAAGCACTTCGGTTTTATTAAAGCCTGGTGTGTTTGTAGTTGCTTTTGTGGGGATTCTTCCCAGCAAATTGTTGGTTAGTATGTGAGAGGTTTTGTCGTTGTGCATATTGAAGAGGGGTACACTGACAGTTACGAGGTAATCATATTGTTACGTTTGCTCGTAGCAGAGAGGAAACCACTAAAATAACGGTACCAGATCCCTTGCTGAAGCTAGAATCGACTTTCCCAGGCTAATATAAGATCAAGACCAGGGCTCGTGTAGAGAGCTTTATTCACATCAGCCACGTGCAGAGAAGTCAAGTATCGAAAATGAAAACGGAACTAATTCAAGTCAGGTTGACCTTGACTTGATAAAAAGTGTAGCAAAACAAATGTTAGTGAATAACTGAATAGAAACAGAAACCAAACTTGGGGAATCGTGGATCCCCAACACATATAAAGCAATTATCCTAAGCCATGTTAACCATCATTCTGTTTTAAATTCAAATGTGTTATTAAAAAGAATTGCTTAAAATTATGCGAATTGTGTTGACATTTGCCTGGTGTCCTTCAGTTTTGACAAATTTAGTATCATTGGAGTATATGCTGGATAGAATGTTTCAGTGGGGCACTGCACATATATCTAATGAGACACGCGTAGTTGTTGACCGAAGCGAGAAAACGGTGCAAGCTTGATCGGGCACGATACTTTTGATCATCGAAGCAATCCGTGATGTAGGTTTCAGCTTATTAGCTTTCAGAATACAAAAGCGAGATCTTAGTATCCAAACAACGAAATCAACTTTCACATGACTTACGTGGTTGTGTTGACGCAAAAAAACGCGTAATGCAGTGTCATTATAGTTGGGCGTCTCGTTCAAAGCGGCAAGCGAATTTACTTGCCTCCTATCGACACGAAGCGCTTCATCAACGACTATCGGTGTGAGTTGTTCCAAATGGTAGTGCTCATAAGGATCTCCGTCTCAAATACAAACGTTTCCGGTTTAACTTATGTTCTAAACTCACATGAGCTTTCTCTGGTTTTTGTCAGCCCAGCCCGCCTTTCTAGGATTCTGAGGTACTCCTTGCCGCGAGTTTTTTCCACATGGCCAAATGAGCATGGCGACCAGCAAGGGGGTTGCATATGACTTCCGTTTTTCCTGTGGCTTACTCAGTCCAAAGGAGTGGGGACTCATAACTATTATTCTTCTAACTTTCCAATGTAGATCCTTAATTTGTGAGGAAATGCTTCTAGAAAGCAGATGTACTGGGTTCAAATCCGATCCATCGTAGTGCCATTCGTCTGGTTTCGAAGGTTTGCTTACCATAGGTCGGCGATCAGAAACGAGGGTGGGAATCGCCTTGAGTTGTTGCGAATTCTTCTGATGTACAATTTTCACGTTTGCGCGTAACCAAGACAACACCCACTCAGATAACCGGTACCCGGATCCTTTGTCTGACGCCAGAACCGACCTTCCCACGCTAATGCAAGACGACGCGACCTCGTGCATAGAGCTTTTGTCATCGCGCCCAAGAGGCCGAGTGATCTGTCGGAATGTCAGCATTTGTTTAAGTCAATGGTGACCTTGACCTGTCCGTAGGGCGCCGTGGGTGACACCCGCTGACGTGGTGTGGTTAGGGGATTAGTGTAAACAATGACGAAAACCGGCGATGAGACATCTTGGGGAATCCTAGACCCCCGCAACATTAAAAGGGTCACTCAAGAAGAACGTAGTGCCTACCAGCCTGCATGTTTTCAGGTTAACACAACTGCCATTAACTCAACGCGAAGTATCAAGTTATTGAAGTGGAAAAATCCTGACTGTAAAAAGTAGTGATTTATCGGTGCGTTTTCTCCATATTGTACAAGCAAGAACTTTAGGATGTAATATCGGGATTCTATTTTTAATTCATCGATTTGAAACATGGGAGAATTGAGAGTTGGTCGGGTTTCAGTCTCGCAATCAATCATTTCACACACAACATATGCTCCTCACCTGTAATATTTTCGACCTATTTTAACTCGCCTCGCCGCACTTTCAGCGCTTTCAAAAACGAGAAGTTTGCATCGGTTGACTCGGGCGGTCTGAGTTTCTGGAATCAGTTGAAGAATCTGACTCATGCATCGAATCTGCTACGTCAGCTTCATTAATTCTCCACTTTCTTAAGTCAAAGCCGTTGTTTCGCTTTGTCTTTAATTTTACAGATAATCGGAAGTTGTTAGTTTCTAAGCTATCGTCTTCAAGGAACCTCGTCCTACTCTAATTATGTTATCAGTTACTGTGGCCCAGAGCGCGAATGAGGCGCAAATTGAAAAGGCAATGGTTCCTAATAAATCTACTTTCATGAATTCTTCCTTTGGAGTTTGTTGTAGGTCACCGTTGGTCCATCAAAGAAACTTTAAAATAGCGAGGCTTCTTCTAGGAATACGCGAATAATGGAACATCGATTCCAATTACTCTCCAACGTGTGAGTTCGTTAGAGAAGGTCTTGGGTTCTTTTTTAAATCTGGCTGCCCGTTAACGATAATTTGTACGTGGTTTTGCTTTGCTCTGTAACGAACACTGATGAGGAAAATAATTATTAGCAATCTTTCTCGGGGCTTATTAAAATAGTCATAGACTTCGAATACCTTTTGCTAACAGAATTAGGGATGACGTAAAATGCCCATCTTTAATACGAATGTATTTGCATAATTACGACATTGCGATCATCTACCATACAATACTTGTTTTTACTGATCTTTTATCACGTAAATCTTGGTAGAACCTATGGCAATAAGCTCGATAACGTTGTTACTAAATGTAATTCAATCGATTATCTTCAATGCATTCCACGTAGCGATGTTCATTCAGAGATCAATACCAAGCGCCCTATTCACGCGAAATATCGGCCTAAAAGCGCAACAAGTGGCATATTTGTTCTTCATTTATTTCTCTTTCGGTTGCCTCGTGCTGTGTCCAGCCTCAACAAACTCGTCCAGATTCTTTCCTGGTTTATTAATTCGAGTACATTGGCTGACTTTACTAGTTCTGGATTCCGTAGACAAGTATTCCATCAATATCCAACCTAAATTGGTTTCAATTGCATAAGGCTTATCAGCTACCTTGGATCGTTGTGCTTTGTTTACTAATCTCTCTGATGGTGCAATTACAATGCGATAAAATGCAGTCTTAAGAAGGATAAAAATCTGCTATCTACACTACTACCATGTGATGGCAGTACCGATTGAGTATTTATCGGTTTATTCTACTGAATAGTATTGCAAACCTGCCCGCCCATTCAAGTGTTTAGAAGCCCTCGTTTCTCAGCGTTTGTGCCACCACCCTGGACGCACAGGCACATACCGGCGTAATCGGCACACAATACTTAGCGGGTGTGTAAACAATTGTGTCCTCATTATGCTACATTTTCACCACCCACTGGGGTTCAACTAGTTTTCTCGAGATCTCTCATAGTACCTTGAACCGATGTATTCGAACACGCAATCATTGTTGCCACACTATTATACATTGACACCTGGATTGTGCTCTAATTGCTAACCCAAGTGCATTGCAGAAACCAGGATAATCTCGATCTCACTAGAATAGGGAACCCTTCGCAATAAGTCCATCCGCTGAACACTACTCCCCGGAAGAGCTCTTGTCCTCTAATCCAACTCGGCTCCACGATACTCTCGGACGCTGAAGTTGCTTGTTAACCGAAGATGAGCCGTTGCACTAACCACAGGTCCCATTTTACTTTTACGAGACGGTGCGCTCCAGCTGGCTTCAGTGATTACAAAACTCGCTTCTCAATTTATTGTAAATATAATCGCATGCACACTTTCCCAACATTTTGAGCCAATATTGTAGACGAAAGAGGCATTAGACGAAAGCATGTAGTTCAAGATTTTCTCGAGTTACGCATTTGGCGAGGTAGGCATGTATGCACGTTTTTATTTTCTTTCTTAGTAAATAAAAATGGGCTACTTTTTGGCCATAAACGGGAAAAGATGTGCATAAAAAGCTTTCCGAAAGTGAACAGCCATGAGGTCTTGTTTTGATTTAGGAATTCAAGGTTCAGAAAACCTGAGAAAACAAGCTAGTAGGGAGTGGCGGTGTGTTTTGAATGTGAATTGAGTGTTTCGCGCACAGCAGTGCCGAGAAATGCTAACTAGCCAGCAGGTCAAATTCCAGCTGAGTCTTGCGCTGGCCGCAAGTGGCGGGAAAAGAAAGCATCTCGAAAATGAAGGCAAGCCAGGCGGGAAATACACCGAAAGACAGGAGTCCGGGCAGATTTAAACGAAGAGTTTCGCCATCAGAGGCAAACTTCTCGTCGCCCTGTCGCGAATTCACATCGTAGGCTGGCAGGTGGTAGGCTGACAGGTAGCTGAGAGAACAGTCCTCGAGGAGGGGAACGGGATCTTTCGAGGACCGATTCATGTGAACAATCGACGGTGGTATAAAGTAGTATTCTGAAAGAATAAACACGTAGTGAAATAATTACACTCATTTCCGTTTAGATTCCACAAGAGGTCATTTAATCAAAACGAATTTCGAGAAAACAAGATCTCGGAAATACCTGAAGGATCCCTCTGCAAAATGGCCGGATCACTCAGGGCCATTTGCACTTGATACTTAAGAGCTGGCGACAACTCGGGGGTCAGTGAGCCGGCGGAGACCTGGCGGAGCAGACGCATTGCCTTGCGACACACCGGCAACACCTGAGTCCAGAAACTATTCCACTCGCGCTTCCACTTGTAGTACTCAATCCCTCCTGCGTAGAAATCACTGCAAGCCTCGCAAACAGCTTTGTCCAACGCCAAGCAGACATGGTGCTGCCATGACACTAAGATTTGTCGTTGGCACAGCACCATCAAGGCAGCAACGCCGAGATAATTAAGTACCCGCAAGGATCGGGGACAGGCAATATGCAGACGAAGGAGACGGTTTAGTGCGTAACAGGTCTGCGAAAAATCGAATGGCGTTGTCAGCGCGAGTATAAACAAGGATTTTCACATTAAAATAAGCAAAGAAAGTACTTACCTGATAGGAAAGATAAAGGGTCGCAATCAGTGACAGGGATGCAATACGTGCGGACATACGCGGTGAAGGAAAGAAAGTGGAAAATTTACTTGTTTCAGACTTTCGACAATCAGCGAGTTTTGCAGATCCCAAAAGGCGCGCTACTTCTCGAGCAACAAGAAATTCCAAAGCAGAATCCGATATGTGCATGAGTTGGAGCCGTTTCTTGCCCAAAGATGAATGCGCCGCATAAGGAAACAGGGGCCTTTTAAGTAAAAAAAAAAAGGCAGATGTCGCCTTCATCCGTGAATATGCGCTTCAAAGATTTTAGAGAAATTGCCTTGGCCAGTTATACTGGGCCATGAAAACAACTGCCCAATTTAAACGCAGCTTACGAGGAAAATGTTAGGTCTTCGAGGGGGATGTCTGACGAGTCCTCGTAGACGGAGAAATACGGCAACCCTATAAAGGCGTACCCGTCGGAGTCGGTGTCTAGGCTTCCCAGCGCCACGGACTCGGCGTACTTGGTTAGAAAGATATCCACCTTCTGACTCAGTGCTTCAGGTACCTTTAGCTTCGCAAAAGCCTGAAGGGGGGCAGGAGTAAATCTTGGTCACAATACGCCCTGTTCCAATCCTACCAGTCTAAGTTAAAAACAGATTACGCGCGAATAGGCCAACGTGGCTTTGCACACAAATGAAAGCCAGAACAAAGTTTACTGCCTTCAGAAATAGATGCCAACGCAATGCGTTACTTATAAAACAAACGGTGTGAAGACGTTTCGTGTTGGTTGATAGGGAAGTAACAAGAGTTATGACGCGAGTGAATTCGGGACAGTGAAACTGGATGAAATCCAACCAAAAAATTGCATCACCCGTTACTCCCATTTAAAATATTTTAGCAAATTGACGTTTATTAATAAATACCTACTTGATCATTTAAAGTAACCAGATATGTATTAAAGAATTATTGTCTTCAAAGAACGTTAAACCACTTAAGACGACAAGCGGATAACACAAATTCTGCTCATCGCAATTTTCAACAGCTAAATTGGTAACCTGTTTAAGGTATTTAGTGGGGGCATGCTTTCAAGTTCCCCCATAATGGACACCATACATCAGATGTTATTTTACACTGATAAGAAGCATATTAAATAAAAGGCGCGCAGAAGGGATACTGAAGGGATGCATATAAATTAACTGTTACCAAATTATCTTTCGGCGAGATAAAAAAACCATACCGCAGTCTATGTTATGTGGCTCTAACAAGCGCCTAATCCTAGTCAGTCAGCAGTTGACAAAATTTATCGCCATCAGCTACTGTTTAGCAAACTGCCGTAAACAAAAAAAACAATTTAATAAAGAAACGGTCATTTTTTTTGTCACAGGCCATGTAAACGATGTTGTGCCCTAAACGGAGACAGATTTGTGCTGAAGCAATTGAAAAAAAAACAATACAAGCATGTATTCCGCTGAAAGAAAACTAGACATATCGACAGTGCAGACGAGGCTTTCTTGTACATTAGACCATTAAAAATCTTCCTGTCAACAGGTTACTTTATTCTAAACAACGCACAGGGCATAGCAGCCTCCTTATTCGTAGCCAAGCAAGACCTTCAATCAACACTAGGACACAAGGATATTTTGTAATGTGATAGGCGCCATAGTGAATAAGATTTACTACATAAAGCTTGGGAAAATTAATGGCACAATAATTAATTATTCACAGCCGAAAACACGAGACTTTGGGTACAACGATACTTTAAAAAAATTGCGTGAAAAAATTATTTACTGTGATGTAACTAACTGTAAATGGTGACAATCGACAATCTAACTTAACTCAAAGGGCAACGAGAATTTCAGCAGAGCATCATGTACCATTTGGCGTACAACATATAGAAAATTAAATCAAGGTAAGTATCTCACCGAATTGGCTATTCTTACGACCCGAGAATTTGGTTCCATTTCGCGTCCAATACGCGTTTTCACGTGATTCCATCGATTAAAGACTTCGAGGTACGGTTGCACATAGTAAGAAAAAACTGAAGCTCCAACGAAACCAATGGCTGCAAATGCTTGTGAGTTGCGCAGAAAAATCAATTTCATGAGTGCATTAAATTTGGAGGTACTAAAATAAGCAACAAAAAAGTTAAGTTTTCTGCGTCAATGGTTTGCATTTCCCCCCATAAATGAAGCATTGTCTTACTGATTCATTTTTTTCTTTCACAATACAGAAACCCTTCGATGTGCAGATGACTCCGGCAAGTTAGAGAGGAATGATTGATTTAGAAAGACTATTTGTGAGTTCAAAAAACCGGAGAAATCAGTAGAAAGTTAAATTGGTCAAGAAGCCAATCAACATGCGCTTTGCATAATTTGACCGATTCCGCAGATTGCACGAGGTTAAACATGTAAATGTACTGCATTTTCAATAGTTATCAAAAATCAACAAGCTCCGAATGCCTCCAGTACCTCATTTACAATCCAAACATTTTAGTGATTGTCTATAAAATTCATCACAATTTACTGGACAGGAAGAGCGTTTACAAAGAATTGGAGAACGAAATCTTGGACATAGCAGGCCAGAGGAAAAAACAACTGCATCGCCGCTCTGCATCGTTAAAGCACAAAATTATCAAAGTATTAAAGTATGTTACAGACTATCCAAACTTGGAATACTTTGGATAATTATGATGCGCGAAGATATGTGCGATGGGATGATTAGGGGTTCGGAAACTTGCGCTTGAACAATAAAGAGGTACGCAGTAAAAGGCTCGTGAGGTAAAAAAGGTAAGATATAATAGTCTAGAAAATCTGGAACTAATATCATTTCTTCGAGGAATTTATGTATCAATTTGCGAACCATCGAGTTTGTGGTGTGGCGTCGGATTAGGGCGCAGACATGTTGGACCACCTGGCCTCAGCCAATCCCGTGTCCCTCTGCGATCCAATGGCATGCGAGGAAGGTAAGCAGCCAATTAGAGGAGGACATGGATAAGATGCAGTATATAGTGAGCGGCGTGGCCAGCGTGGCGTACTCGGATGTAAGGCGCCTGACGCGTGGCTCTGGCTTCTGATTGGTCAATAAAGCCTGTTCTGTTGTACCGGTCTTTTACCTACTAGGGCTCGGTAAACTACATAATGACGGATAAGGGTGCAGACATATTTTACCATGTTGGCCTCAGCCAATCCTCTGTCTCTCTGCGTTCTAATGGCATGCGAGGAAGGTATGCAGCCAGCCAAAGACAGACACGAATGAGGAGCAGTATCCAGCGTGGTGGACTCGGATGGACGGCGCCTGACGTGTGGTTCTGGTTTGTCATTGGTCAATAAAGCCATGTCTTTTGTACCAAACCTATTAATCCTAGGGTTTGGGTATTTTGTAGTGATGTCGTGCTTAGACGCAGTCGTCTTGGCTTCTGTCGACCATTGTCAATCCACCGTCGATGGGTGTGTGAAAGACCTACACGGAATATTACTAGCCAACCAGAGACTCTCGCTGCATTTAAGGGGAAATTGACAAGTCACTCACGACGGTAAGCACATTCGAATCCATCCGGACCGTAAGAGGAGATGAGACCTCTGATGGATAAAGCGGCCTTTCTGCGAGTCAGCAAGAGCTAATTCCCTTGTAAAATGTTCGAGTTGGCCACTCACCTGCAAGTGTGGAGTATCGGGATGCGTCGAACTGGACGTTCAAAAAACAAATCAGAAGCTGAGAACAGCTTATACCCTGAGTTGGAGGCAGTATAGTGCCGTACTCGAACGCAGACATTTTGGATTTGATTAAGCTTAGTCAAATCTTTGTCAATGGGCGTTTGAATGACATATGTTGAATATTAACAGTCAGCCAGAGACAATAATGGAACGGACTTCACATACTCTTGGATCCTTAATCAAAATTGCGTTAGCTTATGCGCAATTTGTCCGCGACAGTGACGTTTACTGCAAAACCGACAGGCTGCTCGACCGAGATACCACACTAGCTGCTTGACCTGTTCTCTAGTAAAGCCGACGGGTTGCTTGAGAAGCTCCGGAGACGAAGGTTTCGTTCCGGAGAACTGGTGATCAATTAAATGCCAGTGATTTGTTTTATTGTGAAAAGGAACCACGATGAAGCGGTTCTCAGGGCGCTTACTATGTCAGTGGTTCTTTGGGGACTGCATCATGGGGTTTTCTCACCTCACATTTGACTTCTGAACCGTAAGCGTACAGCCACACTCTGAATGCCAAATATAATTCAACTTCATAAGTTTGTGCAAGAATATGCGGATGTTTTTACAGGAGGCCCTGGCCTCACGAGTGTTATTTTTATGACATTCACACAGCAAACGCACGTTCCGTTTGTCAGTGACCTCGGTGTATACCAAAAGCGAAACAGAAGGCAGATGAAGGAAGCCGTCGCAGAGATGCTGCAGAAGATAATCGCCAAAGCGTCATTAAAGACGATGGATGGACGTCACGTTAAGTGCTCTGGGCGGGTTGACCTCATGTTCTACCCAGGATCTTAAGTCTGGGTAATGGCGAGTTCAAGTGAATACAGCCCGTCACTACAAGATGGCATCCTTAATTCCTTTAGGGGTTTCTGAATTTGAGACTATGTCCCTCTGACTAGATATCAAACAATACGTCAAGTGATTACGTAACGACTTTAAATGCCTTCGGAGCAGAAGAGACTTTACTCGCCATTTGGAGATTAGTTTGAGTTTCTGCGCCGCATTATTTCGAAAGAAGATACTGCAGCTAATCCTGATAAGTTGGAAAAGTTTAGGATGTAGCAGAATTACTCAAACTTGAAGGAGTTACGTAGTTTTCTAGGACTAACAGAATGCTGTCGTAGTTTTGTCCGTCTCGTAAATATTGCATCTTCATTGCACAAACATACGTCTAAAGAAAGCCACTGGGAGTAAACGGAGCAATGTCAGCAGGCATGCTGTGAGCTTAAGGACTGTCTGGTATAAGATTCAGTCCTTGTCTTTCCCAACTTCCAGAAAGACCACATCCGTTTATTATGGAACCTAACGCGTGGAATAGGGCGACCGGGGCGGTATTTCCCTAGGTTCAAACTGATGATCCCGAACATCCTATACCATTTGGCAGCAGAGCCTTACTGAAAGCTGAATGCATCTAATGCACCACGAAATGCAAAATGTTGGGCTTAACTTTTTGTAAGAGTACTACAAACACTTGCGGGGGCCGATATTAGCACTACCACAAAACTCTTTAGATAACAGCCGGTCACGACCCGAGAAAAGAGAAGGCAGAGTCGAAAGAGAACCCGACCGTTTATTCGCGTCAAGCCAGTCAAATCGAGTCGAGTAATATCGAGTAACTAACTTCTGTGTGCGTATCAATACACGTGCGTTGCGGGCGACTGCTAACAAAAAATCAATAACAAAGAAAGCGATTCATTGATGCAGTCGGGCAAGCACACACGCAGCACTCACGCGCGGTAGCTGTCTGTCCGCAACAGTGTATTCACGAAAAAACCGATTGACTACGTTGTCTCACGAATGCTAAGTGTGCCGGCTTGCTGGTCGCCACACACTTAATGCTAGGTAATGAGATTGTGGTGCACACAGACAACCAAGCAATGAGGCTGTGATATAACTTTCTGTTGAAAAAAATTACGGTTGAGAATTGGAGGACAGCTCAAACGAAAGACAATTACATAAGACCTATATACGATAGGGCACGGGCTCTCCCAAGCCGATCGACAAGGAGACCAAGCCACGAAGCACGCGTGCTTTGGTGTGCATGGAACAGCCATAGCTTCAAGAAATGTTCTCTGCCATAATTTTGGGCCACCATCGTACCCTTTACCTGTGGTAGTACCAAGGGCGTCTGTGGAACGAATAGCATCCAAACTACACTTTGGTCTGTGTCACAGAGGGCCGGTAAATGTTGAGCAAGCGGTGCAGTTAAGTCCCTACCGCTAGCGGCCACAGCCCTGCTCCAACTCATGACTGCAAGATTCCAAACTAAACCATTGGATTAGATCTCACAGAACTTCTCAAACAAACGGCTATTGGCAACCGGTATATCTTCGTTTTTATCGATCATTTCATAAAGTGGGCAAATGCGATACCCCTTCATAGCTGGATGGGTTTCCGACCATGGAGCAACCTACCAAATTTACACTAACCGAGGTAGTTCGTTGAGAATTTCGTTACTTTTGGAATAATGCAACTTGTTAAGCATCCATAGGAGCTGCACGACAGCATTTCAACCCCAGTGGGACGGGCAAGTCGAAAGGACAAACCGAATGCTTAAGATGCTTCTAAGACTGCGCATCAATAAGTATGCATTCAAGTAGTGGGACAACGCCCCACAAGTCTGTCTGGTGTCCGTTCCTTCACTGGTCTGATCCCCGCGGTAAAAACCTTCGGCCATGAGTTGCGGTTACCAGCCAACACTGTGGCACCCCCATCCTGAGAGCCGGACATGTAGAGCACGTTGCGGACATTCGACGACAACTGCGTCGATCTTTCGAGTCAGCCAGGTCACAACTAGCCCTAGCTTACAAGCGTCAGTAAGACTATTGTCACAAACGGACGTAAGGCACCTTAGTCTGGATGGCTCTTAGACAAATATTCCGTTTTTAATGGAACGACTACACGTTTAAAATGAAACTAAATCAATTTACGACCCATCAGCATTATGAAGTTAATAGTAGGGAGCACAGTAACTCATCAAACCTGGTAGTTTTGATTCATCCAGCATAAGACGATATTTATTCGAAAAGATAAGTAAATGAGAAGTGCAAAGGTCACACTGACAATTGGAGCCTAGTAGCATTTCAAGGCTTTTTTGAGTGGCGAACATATTCACAAGACTCGCTTCAGCTTAAAACTCAGCACAACAATAGTGCACATTATGCGCGTATTTCTCACTGAGTCGCACAGGACTTGAGAAGATATTTGACATGCAACGAGGTCAAACATGGTTAGTTTCGACTGAGACAAACAGACCGCGTGGTTACAAAGTGTTGGCTGGAGTGATTACGAACAGGTGTCGTCCGAATTGAAGAATAAAAGGCAAAAAGGGGACAATATCACAGAGAGCTGGAAACATCACAGAATGTCAGAGAAACAATCGGCCAACTCCTTGGCCAGTTGAGGCCCCAACGAGATGGCTTCGGTGTGGATGCTCAACGTGCCGGGTTTAGACGACTGCGCCTGGGGCAGTCTGACTTCCGCAAGGCACTCCTGCCCGCAAGCCGCTGTGCATCCCGCGAATCGAAAGATGCACGTGGTGTCCGCGGTAGTTGACGACAAATCATCGCAAGGATCTGGTGCGGCCGTTTGGAATACTCCAACCAAGCCCAGATTGACCTTTCGAAGTACGCGTCTAACAACATCGATCCGACAGGCTTCGGTGAGGCAGGGAGTTGAAGGAAGGACAACTTTGGTTTCGTGTATGCCACGAAGGGAGGCTAAATTGAGATAACATTTCAAAGCACTGGTGCACAGCATTAAAATTTATTAGACTCTTAAAATCATAAAGTCTAGACTAAAAGTCTGAGTAAATAACAACAAGAGTAATGTAGCTTTGAATAACTACCTTATAACAATTCTTTAATCAGGCTTAATGATAGGGAAATAAACAAGCCTAAAATTTAATGACCCGAAAAAGCAGAATCCGTTAATGCTCAAAAATGTCCGTATAAATGAACGACATCGAGCTGCGAAATATTACAGTGTAAACCACTCTATGAATAACTTACCTATTTTCGTAATGAAATCACGCGCATGCATATCAATGGGCCGAAAGAGTTCCCCAACGAAAGGCTTGATGGAGACAACTGTGCTTTCACACTGCTTGACTCCACCGTTCGCCTCAGCGTCCGGTGGGCTGAACTGATACTTTATTTCCAGCTTAAAAGGCTTCGTAGAATCGCAAAAGTCGACGCCGATGAAAACGTTGGCACTCGATCCGGCTTCCAAGAGATCTAATTACGCAAAATAAGCGCCCAACACAGTAACGACTAGCAGTTAAGGGTTCGCTCGCAACACACACATTTCCCGTTGACGAGAGGCTGTGGTAAACTCACCGATGTCGTCGAAGAGTTGAGTGCAGCAGGTGGTTTTACCCAGAGAAGTATTGGGGAGGGACGGCTCGGAGTGGATTTTATAAAGGGTTGTTTGTTGCAGACACTTGTTGGTCAAACGCAATTCAAGATTGACTTGGGTGGGATTGAACACGGATGCGACGCGAGTGAATCGCGCTTCGACTGCTAGGGGCTCCGAGTAGGGCGGGGTGACCGAGAACCACTGGAGAGGCATGTCGCAGGGCGAAATTGGTAACTAAATCCGATGAAAAAAGTAATGCACTCAATTAGATGAAGCACGCAAAGGAGAGCAGGCAGAAAGTCGCCCTCGGAAAAAAAATAAGACAGAGTTAGCAGAATTCTTGTTTTACACCTTCTGCACGAAATTAAGTTGTTTAAGTTGCAATAAACGGCTGAGTCCCCGTCGTTTTGGCTGTTTTTGCCTGTCGATGGCACAACAGAACAGGTGCTCATGCACATTAAGTGAAAACTTCATCGGACTTGCTAGACCGACATTGTGGACGGGATTGCCTGTTCGCTAGACAAATGGCTGGAAACCCCCAAGTAGAGACACGCAGAATTTGCGTAGTTAATCTAGCTTTCAAATAAAGGGCGCAGAACAAATTGACCTCAAGCTCCTCTGAAGTAAATTTTGATTTTAAAACACTGAACGCGGTTGCATTAGGGATGAGGCAGCAAGTTAGCAACGATCTGATTCATGGAAATACTTACGTCAATTTTTACTTCACCTGGAGGAAGGGCTTCGGCAGTGGGAACGGTTTGAACAGGCGTCAAAATGGTCGGGACAAGGATGTTGCCAAGATTAGACGCGCTGTCGGATGAAGGCAGAGTTGTAAGCCCAGTTGCCGGCACAGCAGGAGCTGCATTGCATATGATAAAAATGCGCTAACTTGTGAGAATTCTTGACAAATCTCACAAAAATTATTTCAGATTGCAGAACAATCGACTCACCATCAAATTCCAATAAAAGCAAGTCCACAGATGGTAGTTTGGACTGTTCCATTGGTTTTTCGCCCTCCTCTTGTTTTTCTGGAATCTAAAAAGTCAATACGCTCTTATAACTGTATCAGGTAAATGCCAGCTATAGACCAATGAACTTCAAAAAAATTTAAGGGCTGCAGGAAATGATGCCAAGACAGATGACTTAATTAGGTGGGCGGAAGGCAAACTCGATGGGGAACTAACCTCATCCTCATCCTCATCTTCTGTCAACAAAGAGGTCTCCGATGCCGTTGAATGGTCAATTCTTCGATTTTCAGTCTTTCCCGCCTTAGGGTAGGCGAGACCAAAAGCATCATCGGGTTCCGAGGAGAGACTTTCATCGGTGCCGTTTTTAATTTCCTCGTTCGCTTCTTCTTCTTCTTCTTCTTCTTCTTCTTCTTCATCTTCTTCCTCTTCTTCGTCTTCTTCTTCACCTTCTTCCTCATCCTCCTACAACCAAAAACTGCAACATTGCAAACGATGCCGCTGTTCAATTGGGGTTATGGAAATGAGGAGCAACCAACCAAACACGAATACTGCGTTAGCTGGCCTTGGTCTTTAATTGAAATATCAATACTGCTAAGACATTCACTTCTAACCACTACCATTAAAGCATACTTTACACTTCGGGTGGCATACACTAACAAGGGGATTGACATGTCATGCTAAAATACCGGTAATGCTCGGGATTACCTGTGACCAATGCGCAAAAAGCACATTCACACGCAACACATTCTACTTACCGCACTCGAGTCCTCTTCACTTTCTGTGTCCTCCTCCTCCTCCTCCGACTCACTAGACTCGTCCTCTGTCTCCTGCTGGCTAATGCTCAGACTCTGTCCGGAGTGGTCAGAAACAGACGCCGCGGACTGCAGTGGCGGGCTGACTAGCCGTGTTGTCGGATCCGGGGGAACGAGAGGCCAGTCGGGCAGATCTTTGTAGCCAGGTAGACGACGGCCGAGAATCTGCGACATGGAACCAAGTTGAAAAAAGGGGCGATCTAAAAAAACACGGATCACACAATTGATTTTGCTTTTCTGTTTGAACGAAAGCATTAAAGAGAGGCTTTACCAAACTTGAAAGAATACTGTACATCCACGAACGTCAAGGTAAATGCATGTAATAAGCAAGAGTAGACATATGTTGATTATTCCCCGATGGATCTCAATCAACTACCACAGCAACCAAAGACTATTAATCAAAGAACAATGTCCTTTACAAGGAATATGAAAATTCGGAGTAAGTGAATAAAAAGACATTTATCTAGAGAAAGAGAGACTTGAAAAGATTTAAAAAAAAAGTAAGACAAACTCACCAGTGACATTAGAATGAAGGGCAGGTGCAGGTTTAATGGAAAGGATAATCTTTTTCACATTTCGTGCCAAGTAAGAGGACAAATCCGATTTCTACAAACAAAAGATTTAACAGTATAGGTTAGTCACTTATACCCGAGGTCCCCACGGCAACACAGTTCTGAACACTGATACAAACTGACACACTGAACATACATACGCAGGCTGAAATTTATGCAAATAACTTAGTCTGATAAAATTACGAAAAAAGGACGGCAATTAAATGAATTTAAAAATAAAGAACACATTGAGAGCGGAAAAAAACTTGCAAAACCACTATTACAATTCCCAGTATTTTAAAGGTATCGAATCAACACATTACACAAAGTAGTCTGAACCAGGTTTACCGCCTAATTATCCTTCGTGGCACAAACAAAAAGGCTAAAATCGTCGCCTGAATAGGGAGGCAAATTTCTTGGCCTCTTAAAATACATGCCGCGCGTTACCACATAACCCCAAGTTGAGAAGGGATGAGTTCGTCGAAAACGTGGAGACGAATTGAATTGGAGGAAATCAACCACCAGGCAATTTGATGTATTTAATTTAATGGTACTCAAACAGTCTAACTTAAAAACACTTGATTGTAATAAGTTGAAATCGAGACGTTCTATTCATCAGCAAAATTATCAGCCGTTGTTTAAACGCGTTATCTAGAACATCAGTTGTCTTAATGCCGAGTCTTACTGAGCGTCGCTTACTATTCGCTCAGAAGGTCGTGAATCTAAATAATGTTTTTTCCAATTTTTCTGCTGTGGAATAGAAAAGTAAAAGGACATCAAGACCACCATGTGGCTCTTCCATTTATGTAAGCTTCCAACAATTCCAGTCATAACTACCATTTTTAAAGAAATTGATTAATTTGTTCAGTGAATTTTTAATGAAGAAATGAGAGCTTTGCTATGCCATCCAGAGATATTTAAAACTCAGCCTTGATAGTCCACTTGTAATTGTTTAATGGCCTCTGAAAAAATTCCGATTTCAACAAAATAAAAGTGACTTCAAATGTCGTTTTTTTAAATAATAATCCATTGGAAAGGAATCAGTTTACATTGAAAACGATTACTTTAGGCGAATGAGATAGTTTAAATTTATTACGGCGCATTATACAAAAGGTTCATATGTGACGCGCGCCATTCGACCCACGCACGCCGGTCCTCCTTTCCCTCCGCACTCTCGCCTTCCTCAAGGCACGCCCGTGAGTCCGAGGGCAACACCAACCCTCCTCGCTGCCATCCCTTTCTCCACTCCAACTCTCTCTAAGCTCTAGCCCTCTGAGTTTGCATGCGGTAGTATGGAATACATCCGGCTCTTCCAGCTATTCTTCTACCGTGTGCCTGGTAGCTAACCATGATGGTGTGGCTATCCAAGAGGGACGGGCTAACAGTCATCGCCCTAATTAGGTCCCCGCTCGGTAGGCGCGTTACAGACTGGACGGGAAAGCTGAAGTTGAACGCTACTTGAATTTGCCCACAACGCGACGCTAATGGGTAATATACGCTTGGTGCTTAACATCGATTGTTTCCTTAGTTTAATGTCGTAATAGAACACTGTTTTGGATAACACGTATGCGTTGTCGAAGGTTCCAAATAGTTTTCTTCTTTACGGGTTCAGCACAAATTTGGCGGCAAACTTCGAGGGGGAATGGAGGAGGAAAAATGCAGAAAATAACACACTCTGGATGTTGTCATTTATAAATATTTTACTAATAGAATTGAAATCTCCACATTTTTGAAGGCGCTTGAAGAAGCTGGAGACTAGGCAAGAATCGATCACCGAAATACACTATTTACCGAGAAAACAGAAAATTCGAAGACTAGCGTTTGCTAGGCAACTTGAAGAACATTGGTCTTCTCGTAGACGAAAATGACTGCACCGACAAAAGCGTTCTTCGGGACGTAAAAACAGACCCGCACCAAAATGCACATTAACGCGTGGTACGAGTCTTAGTGGTTTTGACCACCAAGAAGTGTCAGTAGCCACTACCTACTAGGAGGCGCACTGCCAGCCTCGACAATTCACCTCATGCCGAGACTTCGTCGTCAGTCCTCGACACACCGAAGTCCGTAGACACTTGGACTAGAATGTACAAGAATCAAAGGCATCGCGCTTTCGGACCAGATATAAATCTGGCCAAATGTCTTTCCGCGATTTTGGTCTCCACCTTCCACGGCTAAATACAGTTCGTCTTTCCAGGGACAAACTTCACTACCTATTTTCGTACAAACTTTTTGCAAAATGCAACATTGTTAAGGCTAATCAAGTTGTTTAAAATCATTACTTTCGGATTCTTAGTCCGAGGTCTACACAAAACAGTCACCCAACAACCCACTTTGATTTACAGAGATGTGAATTCACATGCTTGTGCTTTTGTTCGGTTTTAGTCCTTGCATGCGTTTCAGCCAGTCTTATGAAATATTCAAAACTTACGGTAAATTCGACCTTTGGGTAAATTAGAGCCCTGAAAAACCGGGAGCGGTCACGAATGTCGTAGTTTTGGTCGTACTTTGCCAGTGTGAAGACGTACTGCGCCAGAAGGTGAGTCTGCTTCGGGTTTACAATACAGAGTTTAGCGGCAAGATTGAGGATCTAACAATGGGCAAAGGCAACCGATTAATTCGCTTCACTTTTAACTCGTGACGTCTTCAACGATTCGCACCTGCAATTTGACGGAGACGTGCTCCTTGGGGAACACCTTAACCATTTTCCGGAGTACATCAGGGGCTGTTTTGGGCACACGATGACAGTACTCCCCCAACAGCCACAGGATAGACGCTCTCGCCGAGGGAATGTTGATCTCGTCGACCATTTGAGCAATGTGGATAATGATGTCCTTGTGATCAGTGGTCTACACAAAGGAATAAATTACAACGCTCTTTTAGGGCAGTACATTATCGGTAATGAGATGCAGATAAAGGCGACTACTTATGAACTCAACTGTAGTAAATGAGTGACACTACAATCAGTGAAAAACGCTCATGACCCTTGAAATAATGGGCGTGAAAGCAGATCCGAGAAAGCCGAAGCTGAATGGAGTGAAAGCCACTACTTAGACTAGGCACTATGCAAGACGTGAATGCGGCAAGTGTCACCCAGTAAGTTAGTGCACGTTTGCTCGCCAAAGAAACTGTTTTCGCATAAAATCATTGGGCTGGAACATAAAAATACAAAAAAACTGCTAATTTGGATGATCAATGCTAATAAGTAGAATTCTAGTATTAATAACAACGTCGTTGTTTGGTGAAGATAAGAAGCCTGCAGTAGAATTACCATCGTAAGTAGACGATGCCACAAGGAAAATTATTACTACCAGAAACAACTCGAAAGATGAAGCATGCTGACAACTTGTCTGCTTCAAGATTGTGTAAAAGACTAAGCCAATAATAAATCATATCAGTTAAGAATCAATCAGTTTAGACTTAGGCATAATCTACTCCGAAGTAACGCTAAGTTGATTTTTTCCATCATTCGAGAAGGGACCCATTTTTGTAAGGTTAAATAGAGATGTGTGAGGGCATACTAGTGCAAATGAAAACCTCTGGTGCATAGATCAAATATTGCACAAATATTGTTTCAAAAGTAGACGTTATCGCCTAGTCGTGATACGCTTCATTCGTTGCACCCCAGAGGATTTTTCCTAAAAAAGATTCAGTTTTATTAAATCAGGAGCAGTAAGTGACTATCGAATGGGCGTGCTTTCAAACAGTTTTGCCAAAATAATTTCGCGAGAGGCCAGAAAAGGGCAGAAAATTAAGCGAATAAGGGACAAAATTAAGAATCGAGACCTACTTGCATTTGCAACAGCTTCCGGATAACGACCACGCTTTCTGCGACGATGCTCTCTAAAAGACGATGAGGCATAAAAAGAGTGGGACCGAGAAATGAGCATTTCAAATACAGTGACTGTCTTGGTTTTGACAGACGTGTGCCTATTTAGTCGCTGTATAGACAGGTTGTGCATATTTGTCAGACTGAGATAAAGTAATGTCCATTGCTTGACCGATGAAGGTGAAGGTGGAAGAAGGAGGAAGAAGAGATCAACCACATGGTTGACAATTGATTGTAAAGCATGTACATGCATCTACACTACGACAAGCTTCAGTTCTCCAAAAGGCACAGAGCAAAAAGTCCACTGGACAAAAACCAGAAGAGAGAGAGTAATGGCAACATACCGTCCTTGCGAGACATCAGGCGCAGCAGTCCAGTTAGACAGGTTTCAGCGATCTGGGGAACTTTGCTGGCACACTGACCTATGCACCTTATTGTCTCAAGAATAAACTCCTGGTCTGAGCTATCTACATATGCCTAAAAGAAATACATTTCTCGATAGTGAAACCGAAATGATCGTGCGACATCGTATGCGGCAATTCCCGTGAAGAATATCGGCAATATTTATCTTTTGTATTCTACACCCTCTTGATGAAGATTGTCAGTAACTCTGGATTTGCTCGATTATCAAACGTTTTTTGCTTAACTAGTCTTGCACGCTAGGCGGGAAAAAAAAATTGAATTTCGATAACCCGACGAACAGTGCTTAATGCCAGACTACCCCGAAGGTGATTCACGCGACCAAACCCATTTGACTTTACATGTGCATTATAATCGCTTTTTAACGCTTACATTACACACACTTTCGTAGATGCAATTAGCCAAACAATAGAAGCCTAGTTGTAGTAGACCGTGAACAACTTAAAACTTGCCTCAAACTAGATCGTTGTTCTATTGCAAATAGACTAAAACGCACGATAAGCAGTATTGAAACCGACGGCTTCTCGCTCCGTAACACAACTAAGGGCAAGATAATCCAGACGCCTGTAAAAACCAGATTCCTGGGGTCGAGTGGTGTGGTGGGCAAACGGGAAAAATTACTAAGACTTGTTCGAACAACAACGGCGGGGCAGTATTCAAACTTCGTGAGAGGTGTGTGGTCACGCAAACGTTGAAAACACAAACTCTGGGACAAGTTTGCATCAACTGATTCCTACAATGATATTTACGCCCCAAATTCACCCACCTGAAATTCACGAAGAATTATTGAACTCGTAGATTCGTTGACTAGGTTTGTCAGAATTTCCAGTTTCAAGAGTTTTAACGTCGTCGGATCACTTCCAAAGACAAAGAACATGCGGATATAGGGTTCGAAGAGGTTTGGGCAAAGCAGGCTCATTGAGGCGATGTTTGAGAGGACGATGTGTTCGATTTCTCTGCAATCACATTGGATTGGGTGGGAATTTAAAAATAAACAATCTATATGTAATCTGAGTCAGTAAGTAGTAGTCACTCAAAACCGATCGCACAACACCTGGGTGGTGGTTCTTGTCAAGGAAGTAAGTACTGCCCATTGCTTAAACCATTTCTAGGACCCCCCCCTCTCCATCAGTGTTTGACGGCATCGGGCGCTGTCAAAATTGCCCAAGGCACAAACGGACGCACTTGGACGCGTAACTCTGGCTTTGTCTGAGGCATTAGAACGCTGCCGAGGTCCAGTCTTTGTCCCATCACTAGGCGTGTGGTGGATGCGTTAAACGAGAGATTTACGTATCGGCTCCCTGGGAATTTTTGGTTATGGGCAAATAAATGGGAAATATGGCAAAAGAGATCTTGGTCGATAATCATGACGATCTGCTAGTAATTATATGAACGTCAAAATAAGTCACAGTTTGGTCCAGAAGTCATCAACAAAATGAAAAACGTTGATGTCTAGTTAAAAAAGCTCCCCAGCCCAAACTATCCAACCTCGAACCGTGAAGAAGAAAAAACCAAGCAGTAGATGCGAAGATTTTAGGCTGTTCAAGGAAAAGGCGAATCGTCTGGTTTCCTGATTCAACTAGTTTCCTCCCATTTTTGATGGGTTAATTTCTAGGAAACGTAATCTAACGAAGTTTGGTACACCTGTTTCCTTGTTCGCGTCAAATAATTGCCGCAATGTGTAGGGACCTGAGGATATGATAAGACCCATTTTTCTAAACAGACGTGCACTAAAGTGTCGCATTTTGCCATCAAAAGACTTCGAGAAGTTGATTTCGTGAAAACATCCGGGCAGCTGAGTTGCGATTGTATAATGGACGCAGTTATTCAATAACCGGAATCTAGTAAATAATTATTTACCACTTGCACATTTCTGTTTTGAAGAGAACCATTGTCTTGAAGTACCAATGCACAAGGGGGGCATGTTAAACAGCAATCCGGTTGGAAAACTACTTTTATGTATGTACACTAGCCCGCTGCTGTTAAAACAACCACGTAATAGCCTGAAAGTTAGTGTCCCAATATGCTTAATGACCATCCAAACCGGACACATCTCACAACGTTTGTGTATACATACCAGCACTTTCTACCAACATTGCTTTTTGATCATAGATGGCTTTGAGGGCTCTGAACATGATCTCGTTTGCACGATAAATCCCTTTTTTTTTAAAAGAAAAAATTAACAGCGAATGCAAACATTTCAAATTCCTTCTTTTTTGGTAAAGAAATGGTTCTTGATGTCTAACACTAGTCTAAACCTCATTGATTTCATACAGTTCAAGTTATGTGAGCACAAGTGAACACGTAATTGGGGATATTTCTTACTCTGGAAATCCCAAACATCCTGTGTGGTTATTTGATGCAGTTAAAGATTTGGTTGACTTCTTCTCGATTCGTCTTTTTTATCCCCTACACCACTACGTTGGAGACGTTTCATCGTTTAAAACTGCCTTTTAATTGTTAACATTTCCATTCCACGTTCACATAAATTATCCGTTATCTGGGGTCCTTTCGCCGTTAAATGTCAACACGGGGTCATTTTCGTAATTGGAACTCAATATACGTACTCGCACCCACACTGGGGCCTTCAGCAGATGTAATCCATTAATTCAATCATTTCAAAAACGGGCAACTTATTGTGACTTTCATGTGAAAAGGCGAAAAAAGTACTAGCATATTATGGCAGGCATTGGGCAGGCAAGACGGACACGCAGACAAAGTAAACGAATAAACCAGGGACATTCACCACTTTAACAGTCAACTGGAAGCATAAACGATTGCCATTCAAATTATCGAAGCTTGAAAAGATGGTTCTACAACACGGGTAAACAAACGTTTAGCGTTAAACACCACCTAAAAATTAGGTTCATTAGTATAGTACAAAAAGAGAAACAGGTGTAACTTACGGAGTGGAACGCAGAATGCGAATAAGAGCCTTCACCACGGACGGCAGTTCCTCCTTCGGCGCGCAGTGATAAAAGAGTTTTGACACAGCAATAACGACCTAAAGCAAAAAAATCTACCTGCGAAATCTGACACAGAAACCGCTCATGAACATGGTTGCCAGCCTTTGATCTTAAATCCAACAACTATAGTCCAAACAAAAAGTAAGATTTTTATTTCAAACGGAAGAGAGGTTCATACTAAATATTGTTTAGCTACATTAGGATTCATCTGAACCAAACTAGGTGGATCAGCAAGCTATCAAAAAACAGAAGCAGGCAACGAAAAACTGTTGTGACACGGCCCAAACCACAGAGTTAAAACCTGTCACCACGGAACATGAGCAAAGCAAGTAAATACGAATAAGAAACAATGCGGTTAACAAAAAGACTACCCAAAATGCATCAAAATGAGTTGACAACATAAAGAAACCCATATACAAGTTGTTTGTATGGGAGGAAAACGAACCTTCACCAAGACTTAGACAAATAACTCGAATTACCTGATATCTTGGCTACACCAGTCAGGAAACCCGTTTAACAAGGGTAAGGAACAATAATTGTGAGAAGTTGCGCGGTAGCATATCAAATGGTTCGAAGATAAACCATGTAACGCACCAAGGCACATGGTAGAGGTGAGCACATTTGAGTGCGTAAATTCAGAGGATGCCAGCATTCCCCAACACCATTCTGCGTACTACCAAGATTTTGCCGCTGCTTACACAAAACCTACCCTAGTTTGCTCACCTTAATTGGTCGCGCCATTTTTAAGGCCCACACTGACAGCTCCTATCTCTAGCAGGACTAGCACATACCGCCCATTCTGACATGACGCTCGGCCTTCCGACTGAGAAGGCGGGTTCGCATTAGACAAGGGACCTGGGTATTGGTTTTCTGAGCGTGTTTTCGATGACAGATAAAGCGTGAAAATGACGTGGTAGGTATGCTAGATTTCAATCACATAGGGCATTACTAAACTTGAAAACACCTTGACCTCACAAAAGTATCGACGAAAGTCAATCACAGAAATTGGGGCGAGCTCGGGTTCGGGCATTAGGCGAGGGTTACAGTGCATATGTACTTTTCACTAGCACCGACATGATCTTCCACAAAGTGAACTCAATAAACTTGCACGCCCCAAATTTAGGTTTTATTGAAGTGCATAGAGTGGTCTTGAATTCACGTTGCATTACGTTGAAGGCAAGGTGAAATCAAAAATAATGTTGAAGCAAGTTATTTACATAATTAGTTCGACGGCCACAATGCAGGTCCACAGATGGAATACGCCTTTTTAACCAAACAATTACAGATATTACGTACAGTCACCTAGTACTGTGATGAGGTACTCAACAGTTCCGCGTGTTCTAAAACATCATGCAAGACAAACGATAAAGAGGGGGAAAAACCGTACCGCCGCGTTGTGGCTGAGCAGAAGAAGACGGCAAGCAGTGAGTAGGAGACGGTAATCAGCATTAAGCATATCCACTAAAGCCGAATCAAGCGTGCCTCCTAGCTGCTGTTTTGGCTGTTCGCCCGTTGCATTGCCCAATTCCTCTTGGCCTGTCGCCAATGTGTTACTGGCATTATAAGCACCTGATAGATTAGGGTCACGGCTGCCCGGGGTCCCAGCAGCAACACCGGTCTGGACACACAGAACAACACACAGATAGTACGTTCAACACGAGCTGCAATTCACACAAATAATTCAGTTGGATATGATTGCATAAAAAAGGACGCCAATCAAATGAATTTAATAAAAGAGAATACAGCGCGAGCGGAAAAAAAGCAGCCACTAAAATTTGCGGTATCGTGAAGGTATCTAAATCACATCTTTCAAAAAATGGCCTGAAATACGATCACCACATACACTTTCCCTCGTGGCATGGATAAACTAAAACGATGTCAGGATTCGGGAAGAAAGCTTTTTTCACCTCGTAAAATATCTATGACGCGTTACCATGTAACCATGTAACCGTTGAAAACGCAGAGACAAATTGAACGACATCAGTCAGGCAAATTGATTTACGTAATTTAATGGTGCTGAAACAGTCTAACTTAAAAACACTCGACTGTAATAATTCGACTATCTGTACATAAAATAAGCTCTTAAAATTGATATATTTAAAAAAACATTGGTGTCCTGTTGAAACCTACAAAAGTAAATGGCACATCTGAAGACCCTGATTGACTGGCAAAAGCTGCACGCAGCCAGTTCAAATTCTTTGCATAATGGTCAGTAGCCTTTAACTAGTTTTGAAATTCACTCGCGTAAATCCTAAATCAGCATCCAGAAAACTATACGTGCTCAAGGCAATTTTGAGTAGAAACTGAATCGTAAAAAAAACATATTTCTGGCATACCAACGTGGACTTTGGATCAGGAAATTGAGTACGAGCGTATCGAGTGAGCATGTTGATTATGGCTATTTGTCCCCACTCATCGACGTCCATTAGGAGGTTGCAAAGCTTGCGGAAATGTCTACAAAGCGGATGTGATTTTAACTGACTCAAAGGCAAGTTGACAGGAAATAATTCACGTTGATTTACAAAAACCTTAAGTATAACAGTATTCGACGCGCTGTTAAAAAAAACTCCCAAACGAGTTAATCAGTATCAGATAAAATGCCACAAATCATTTGGCATACTTTGCTATACTGCTCGTACTCCTATTAAAATCCACTACGACGACAATACCACTTTAGTGATATGATTACTTCGCACTGCCATAGTCACCAAGGCAGCACTTCAACTCCAAACCCGAAGATGCCTTCAGAGCTTACCACTTTTATTAACAATTGCTAAATTGCATGAACATCCCCAAAAACCCCTAAGCAGCGTACTTTTAGGCTAAAATTTCAAAAATGAGAGCTAATTTCATGGCATCATTAAAGATAGAGAAGTAGTTAGGTAGCATACTTGTGAATAAGATCAATGCGGTCTGGGCAGACTTCTTCAAAGGCTTGGACCGCACTGCCAGCCACTACAGTTGACTTATCTTCCAACAACTTGTTGATTACGTCAATCAACGTGTCCTTTTCCTCTGGTTCAAGACTAAATTGCAAAAGAAAACAAAACATTATGCAAGAATCGATTTTAACCCGCTCTTACAAGCTAGGCAATTTGAACGACCTGCATTTTTTGATGCAGATTTAGAAAACTAACTGATTGTTTTAGGTGAGGGGCGATAAATACAGTCAATAGTCAATAGTCCAAACACTGTGCTAACCGTTTTAGCACGGCAGGAAATAGCAATACTTCGTTGCAAAATGCATGAAGAAGTTGCCTTCGCTCTTACGAATAAAACTATACATGGTATTGTACGCCTTCACGATAAAGTTCAAGAATCCACGAAGTCTTACTTACCTATAAAGCTTTGGAATAGCGTGAGCAACTGTTTTGCGCACGTAAGGAGATAAGTCGACAGCCCCCTCGCGTACCGCCAAAATGAGTATTGGCACAATAACGGGGATGCGGATCGACGACAACACCCTTAAGGCGGATGCGCGAATCAGCTGGTTCGAGTCCTATAAAAGAGAAATGGCAACTTGATGGACAAAAATCTCAACAGCTGCTCACTTCAATGTTTTTTAAGTCAAGGTAGCCTCTTAAAGAAAGTCAAACATTACACAAATAGACTAGTTTAAAGATCCCAATTTTAAGTGTAAGTAATGATTCGTTTTTTTGGAAAATAACAATCAAGGTTAGCACTTCTTATTTTCTATTGTTAGGTAGGAAAGACTGAGTGTCAACCCTACGCTGAGTTGCAAGTTGAAACTTGGCGGAAAGGGTAGGTGGGTACTAGCAACTCATTCAAATATCTCGGATTGAGGCACAAAATGATCATACCTTGAGAGAGCGTTGGAAGGTAGAAATGGATAAGAGAGCTAGATCTTGCTGCTCCTCAGCATAACGAGTCAGGTAAACGTAAACCAGTTTTTTCACCTATAAAAACGAAAAAGAAACATTTTGGGGCCTAAGAGAGTATTACCAAAATTTAATTGAATTAACACAAAAATTGCCTTACCTCTGGATCTTTGGAAACCACATTCTTGACAACGGCTGCAAAGAGATCGGAACAATCCTTACCCCTTGCAACCATCTAAGAAGGAAAAGAGGAAGTAGATAGAAGTTTCTCAAAAAATATTTGATGCAGTAAAAAAAACTAAACATACAGCTATAATGCGTCGCATTGCAGCCAGCTTCAGACCATCTTTATTACTATCAAGCATTTTCTTCAGGTCATCGTTTCTGCAAGGAAGAAAGTCTTGACCACAAAGTCACTCACTTTTGAGAGTCAGGACAAAAAATCATGCTGGAGGCAGGGTCGAGAGCAACCTCGAAGTCAGCATACGAGGACTGCCAGCCCGTCGATTGAAACCCGTTTGTTTCCGCCAACATCTAAAAGCATTGGGAATACAAACGTTGTTAATAAAAAACACTAAGAGAATACTATTGTGGATCTTACACCAACCCAAATAACTGAAAGTCATAGGCATACTTAAAATAAAACGACAACCTGAAAAGCCATAACACGAAACCAAAACCTTTTACTTGGCTGATACGAAAGCCATCCAATTCCAGGTTTAAAAGAACATGAGGCTAACGGCAGAAAAACTAAAAGCACGGCTTTTTTCTGGATAGCAACTACAGGGCTTATTTGACAGCCACCTTACATGGGTTTGCAGCCGGTAGAAACATAAAACCAGTGTAGAATGCTCCTTTCGCCGCAATCCAGGGGATTTTCAACGATAAGCACAACAGACAGGTGGTTTCAAAAGCATAATTTTAATTGTTGCTTGCCAAAACAATTAGTAACAGCTTAAACTAATACTACAGAATAGAAAATAGTAGGTGGGATAAGAGCCATGAGAGATTTTTATGAATCTCTGAATACGAGATAGTAGTTTCAAATTTTGATTTCGAAAGGAAAGCTACACTTAATTATAGGAGATCAACATCGCAGTTACATAGATTCTCAACCCCACTTTTGTCATTATTGGCGGGGGATAAATTTCTCCATTTTCTGCAGTGGCAGTTTTTTGTTAGGTTGAGCATTTAACCCAGAAATGAAGGTCGATGACATAAATTTAACGCATCGAAAAGCTCGGACAAAAAGACAACAAAAAGCTTTTGTATCAGGTATATTACTTCGGAAAAACAAAAATATCAGTTGTAAACAAATAATGAACAAGGCGAAATCTCACTACACCTCTGACGTCTGCATCCTCTATCAGGGCGGAATAGATGTATTAGGGCGGAAGTTGCAGTCAAGAGTTTGTACTTCCCGGATGGTCTTTTACGTTTTGCACACTGCAGTCAGAAAAAAATTGTGGTTAGTTCGTCACCCACTTTTGCATAGACAGTTGAATAAAAATTTATATATGACTGCCTATTAAATAATGATGTATGTAATCAGAGAATGGAAATACTTCGGTTCCTTACCTGAAACTTATGACTTCCAGACCATATTTTTTGTGAACGACGTTGAAAGACATGCTTATATATCTTAATACGACCTGTTATTGTTGACAGAGGCCTACTTTATTAAGCCAACCTGCTAAGCCTTAAAACATAGCATTATTTAGTGCGCATTATACCCATCAGGGTAAATTGTACATTTGAGTTTTCCTTGCATTGAAGCTCAATGTCGCCATAACATTAAATGGAATATTTTGTCTGGTATTAATTTTGGTCAAGTTATTCTGGAAGTTAAAAAAGCTTTGCTCTAGTTTATTTCTACTGAATGGTCAGTGATCGTGAGCGACTGATGCTCATTTACAGAATAATTTTTTATGATTCAACTCTAATTATCATTTGCTGTTGTTATCGATCACCTGTTACGCATACCCATTCATTTGCATATAAGGCATACTGGGCTGGACTGGCGCTAGTAAACGGTCGTATCACCATTGGCTTTTCTTGTCTCTGTCGTTATGGGCTGTTAACACCCTGGGTTGTAAGTTAGAAAAAGCTAACCATTTTACGTTTTGTGATTACAATAAACACCAAAATTTAACAAAAATCTAACGTAAGACCTTTCTCATAATGTGCCTTGCGTACAAACAGACTCTGTCTACTGATATGTCGGGCATTCAACCATACTAATACAGAAACACATTTGAGGACAAAAACTCAAACGGCCGACTACGAAAGACTAATAAGCGTAAACAAAAATGTGGTGCTCGCAGAACACACAAGGATGTAAGACACTGCATTTTTAACAACCTTGAACCAATTATTTAACACGATGGCTGTCGCCAAAACCAAACTCTCGGTTCTTCGTGTTGCGAGATGACTGTACGATCACGAGATTCACCTTGTTTCACTACTCTGATCACTATCGAGCACGAAACGAAAAGCCTGTTTTCTTTAGGTCTCTAGAAGTCACACATTCAATTCTTCAGCTTGATGTTTTGGTAACGATAAAACCTCTTATTGGTGGCCGAACAACTTCCCCACGCAAAAATACGATCCACACGTCTTATGCAAAGTATCTTTTATGCTTTTGAAATCATTAGTATTCTGTCATTGGTACCAAGCACCTGCCAGACATCTTTACGTGTACAGCGTTGAGCAAAGCCCACTAGTTAACAGACACGATTGGTCTGCACGCATTTGACTGTTGAGTCTATGCAATTTACAATGGGCATCGATTCCACCAATACAATGTCTCGCCTTTAGAGAGGACTAAAACGGTGATGCATATTTGTTGCCTTCTGCCTTTCTTTTCGTTGGGTATTTAATCTTGTACGATTCATCATCAGCATCGAAGATTTAGAAACTGGTGCTTTGTATGGCGCATTCTCAAGTTTCAACTGTCATATTTCGGGACTAATAGCCTATCCCATTTAATGCATTACAATTGTTGGATTTATTTTATTTTTTTTTATATCACTAGACACCCTAGGCATTAAAACACCTGACGAATATCACTGATGCAACAGAGATCGGAGTATCGAAATTTTCTACTAGTCTCTTAATTTGCTAAGGCTCGGGTATTTCAAGTGTTTCAATTTGGTTTTCCTTGTAGAAACTTTTGCTAAGGCCCAGCAGCCACTAGTGTTAACACATGACATGTCGCAACGTTTTTTATCCTTTTTTCGAACCAATCCGTGGTAAGTTCTTTTATTTTCATGTGTTTCATTATTAATATCCCTAACCTGTATTATTACTCGTATAACCATACACCAGAGTTACAATCTATCCTGTGTAGTAAATATGCACTTATGGTTTCTGGTCCCTTGAACTATTCTACCACCAGAAGGGCAGATTTCACAACGTGGGCTACCACGTCAATGACAACATTCAATCGTTTGTGAGCAGATTCTGTGGGGTCTGCAGGGGTGACTTAGGTGGCGAAAAGGTCGTGAACTTTTGCATACTTTCCCTAAACCTTGAGTTTCTCTTGTCCACAATTGAATTCTATCCTATCTCTAGGTCAAGCAGGCTCACCTTGCTCCATCTTTCGTGTGATGCAACCCTTAACTTATCTGGTGGAGTTGAAAGTTTGCATCTCTTCCAACAATAGACGTTGATTATTTCTTCGACGAAAACTGCTATTCATCATAATACTTGCGAGGGTTCACATGCAATACAAGTAGCCAAGTCAAGGCATTTCAACTGAATTGAATTACGACCATAATCTGGGACGCCCCGTTAACCACATGCACACGTCGAAATTCACTTGACTTGATGCTCTTAACTTGCTTTAGCAGCGTGTTTGCGTGTACCATTTATTCCGACGTTGTTCTAAACTTAATTATAATGCAGAGATGGCAAATATGAGTCGCTTATGTTTGCGTTGGAAAAGTAGCATAAGCCAATTATTACTAGGTGCTCATCAAACTATTACAATTTCCAGTGTATGTAAACGGTCAGTTCGCAGACAAATGTATATTTTCAACCGATTTTTCACCTTTTCAAACGCCACTTAAGTATCTTCGCGGTGGACCGCAGGTAATTAAATGATTGACATTTTTCAACAATACATAACCCTTAGACGGAAGACCTTTTAAACTAAAGGCAGAAGGCTGCTGCGGCAGAATGCATTTAAACGAGAAAGAAAAACACTTTTTGAGTACATTCATCATCAGGAAAAAAAAGGGCATGCGTAAAAGGCCTCTTAACTGATTGATGGCTCAGACCTGGTCAACCAAGAACATTCACGAGTTACCGTTTCCACCAGGACTTTTAAACAGTTTACGCACCGACTTGTCAAGAGACGCCCATGTACTCTATTTTTCGCCTGCAGATGACCCTGTTATCCCTAAGTACTCCAACATCTCTTTTGACTATCCTGAACTTTAATCTGCAGTATATTCATTCTCCTCGATGTAGGTGTTCATACTGTACTGAAACATCTAAGTTTACTGATCGGACAGGCTCACCTGCATTATAATAACCCATCAACTGGTGAGGTTTGGGGTGTTCTGTCGTTGAAACAACTATCGAAAGCAATCCATATAGAGAAGAAACACCTACACAGACTATTCCAGCGCATTATCACCACTAACTTCTACCGACTTGGAATGTCAACACCAAGAACAACAAAAGATAAGATATCCATGTCTTTAATTGTCAAACATTTTGAATCGCTGTGCTACTGCTAAATCTTTACACATTCACCAGGCCAAATGCGGATATGTAGCCTTCATGATATTTGGAAAGTAAATTTAACGCCCTAGCTCGAGAATAACATGGCTTATTTATTTAAACAATTGAAGCTGCGCTAAACCAACTGACGCGATGCAATTGTCAACCAGGCTATTGTACGAAAGTGAAAACCCTGATCTTTAGGGGACTGACGACATTTTCACGCGAGGACTTGCGCCACGGTCAGAGTCAATTATCAAAATCTTATTTCGATTCTATTAAAGAAATTTAAACTATATTTCCCAATAGTTGCGTAACCCCCACATGGACAGTTGCGTCATCTCAACAATGGCATTTGAAATCTACTATTTCGGTGTGAAATGCTTAGTCAAGAATTGCGGAGTTCCTCCGCATCTCATTCCCACTGGAACGAGATAGGTTTACTTAATCTCCACCGCTTAAACACCATGGACAAATTAAGTGAACTAGATCCGCTCGGCACCTACTTTCGAGGTTTTTCTTGCACCAACACGAGAGTATTCAGTAGGTTTTTTCATCCCTACTACCTTAATCCCAAGCCAAGCATACCTCGATTAGCACCAGGTTTGATGCGTACACAAAACATGAAAATACAAATCGAAATTGCAACGAGCAAAGCTACGATTTTTCCCGACGTCCGTCAACTGCAATATCCTCGTGCACTCAAAAGAAGCCAGCATATTTGAATTAGATAATTTAAATAAAGAGAACTTGTCCTGAAGTTATTCAAATCGTGACCTAGACCGTGTTAGTAGAGGTGGATTCGGAGTTCATAAATTTAAAACTTTGTCAGGCTGTGGGATTGAAGACAAAGGCAAGGTGGTTGTTCCGCAGGCATCAGATGGAAGTCGATTAACAGAGCCTGGAGTAGAGGAGGAGGTTCCCATGGCTCTTGGAAGAGGGTCTATTGAGTCCATAGAGGTTAATTCCTTGTTTGAGTCTTTCCTTATGACTGAACCGCAGCTGCAAATGGCAGAGGCTCTTTTTAAGATCTGGTCATTAAATTTGTTCAAACCAAGAAGGCGTGTAAATGAGATGTGCACAGATTGTCTATTATGTCGAATACACAAACCAGAGCAATTTAATAAAACTTTTCATGTTACCTAAACGGTCTTAAGTAAGGCCGGGCGATGAAAAAACCGATGTATCTGATGTTTAGCACAATTTAAAATAGGCCTCGGGACAATAATGTTAAGGTAACCAATATGAATCATACCTCCAGATCACTCCCAAACACGCGTTATTTCTTTACCCCTACTACACCGGAATGTCTTAGCTTTAGACAACGGCATAGCAAAATTAAAAATTATTGAGGAATAAATGCGAATCATAATTGCTTTTAAAGTGTATGCGCGAGGCAACTAGGATTTGATAGTCATAATAATCAGCATTATTTCTGTTACAGCTATCAAAGCTTGAAAAATCGTGGCAGTTTAACTTACAATCCAGCACAAAACTTACACGTTACTTGAAACAAGTTCAGGTGAAGGCGTGCATTTACCGGAATTGGGCACTGAATTTGAGGGGGTTGGGATCTGTAGGATTGTCCCGGTAATGAGGAGATTATCTCCAAGGAGATGCATCCTATTAAACTGTTTCAATTGACCCACCTATAAGAAAATCAGCTATTTGACAGAACACCTGATTTGAATAGGGTGAGGTAAAAGTTGCTCACGCTTAGCAAAATTTGTCCCAGAATGGCAACTTTTGTTTGCAATGGAATACCTCATTTAGTGACTAAATATTAAACTAAAACGACACCTATCACGTTTGATACTTCTGTTTGTTGAATCACCACTAAGTCATCAAAACTATTCAGAACTCCCTTCCACAACAAAGAAAGAAGGTTAGACATGGCTGGAGTAATTACCGATTCACTGTCAGTTTAATGTTATACTGTCACACTAGATTGGTTTATCAGATGAAAACCTACAGAAGTATTTGCATTAATCTGATGGGATGATTCGTGACCGTGACCAAGTACGCCGTCTGGTTGGAGTCCGCTTGAAGCCCTTGCCCACTACTGCTGCTCAAGGACTTCAAAGGAATGGCTTCGAAACCACTTACTAACATGTACGCTGTCAAGTGTGGGTTTCCCACAAATAATGTGATTAAGGTTGTACTGTCAAAGTTAGAATGTATATCTGAAAAATGATGGATAATTGAAATCTTAATTGCCAGAACACAGATCCACAAACCAATCTTGTAAATATCTTAGTTAGAAAACTTTGTTTATACACAGTAAAAGTTTCCTAACCGAACCCGTATCATTCTGCTGCTCAAATTCCCTAGTTGTAACATATAACATGCTTCCTTAAGTAGTAAAATTTGAGGTTCACGAAATAGCATATTTAGATTGAGATTTGAAGAACGAAACAACCAATAATTAATAAAATCTGCAAACATAGTATGCTTCTTTAACTCAGAATGACAATACCTTGATAGCTGTGAAGTTTTTACTTTTCTACAGAACAGCATTTGTGCAAAAAAATCGTAAAAGTAATCATTGATTTTTCAACATACGGAGATATCATTTTTGACAGCAATAGACACGAGAGTGTCGCCTGGCTGAACAACATAATCAAAATGATTCAGCCGCGGTGCCTCACAAACCCTTCCGGAATTTGTGTAAAGGGTCCCATAATGTTTACGTCGGTGGCAATTTTGCAGTATGCAAGCTTCCTCCGCCATACTTCTAAAACTAAAAGAAAGTTGTCACACATAAGTTCCCATGAGCAAATATAAGATGTTCAAAGAAACCACCAGATTGAGGAAAATACAAAATTGACTTGAAATAGTGTGAGAATAGAGCCCACGTGACTATCATTTCATCTGATGACCATAGCGAGTAACAATGGAAGTATAGTAAGGAAACATCGGGGCATGAAATGCGTTACTGTCCGACTTGAATCCGTATATCTGTTTCCTCTAAAGTTAACTTGATTCTATGAAGTTAGTATGGCACCCCAAAGGAGCTACTTCCTAAGTGCAGGTGACTTTCCTTACTGAATACGTCCTTTGAAATAAATTATGGAACTTTTCTGTAGATAGTTTTGCCTTGACGGCTAAACTACCATGGAACTCAAATGCACACTGCCTCAAACGATCTAGATTAACTAATGAAGCTCACACACAGACGGAAAAGACCTCAAAAGTGGTAGGTTGTCTGAGCCATAACAAAACCTCACTGGGAAGTAGGGAATATACATGCAAAAGCGGAACAAGGAGAAGATAAAAACTTAGGAAATTAAATGGCTAATAATTTAATTCAGGATACTTAGAATTTAACAATCATCACATGCTAATAATGCCGATGAATGCTGCATGTTCTACGCTGGAAAGTCCAGCACGTGAGAAACCGAATGCTCCTAAAGTTACATGTTACACACGACAACTATGTAAATGTCACTGTATGGTTCCAAATAGTAATTCAATAGACATTAATAGTCAACCACTAGACAATTTCCACAAAAATATATGTTCCTAGATTCTATATGGATGTTCATGATGAAAGTTACAGGTTGTCAAGAGAAGAAAACATTTTGATAAATCTGAAGAACTAAATTGAGTTCAACGATTTAGAGAATACAAACATTTTTTTAGATTCGATAAACTTTGTGCAACCTCGTAAAGTTCAAGAACTAGATTATAAACCTGAACTTAATTTTCACTTACACAAAGTTAAAGAGAAAACTCACAAGTATAGTGTAAATACTTCAAGAAAGAATAAGGCCTTTTATTTGGGACTTATTGTATTATAAATTCTACGGCTGAGCAAACGACATTAACCATGAAAGCATCCTAGTGTAAGCGCACAATGTGTAACATGGTTACGTTAATTTAGCAAAAAAGAGGGGTAGAAATAGCAGTAGGAAGGACAGCACGAAATAATTGGCTGTTGAATTAATGACGATTTACTATCAACCTTATTTAGGTATTTAAAACAAAATATATAAGGGCCAAAAATAACTGTAAAATTACTTTATTGTAATTACAAGTGATTTGCATTGATTCCTATTGATATACGTTCACCTTCTATCTTGCCGCATTCTTCGACTTACTGCTCTCTTTTCACAGAGAGCCCGGCAGCTTATTTATCAATATTCCTGCATCACGCTCATAACGTATTTCACTTATCTAGCAATTTGCACATTAATACTGTTCCAACTAACTCAGACTGCTTAGGGCAACAACTACGTGAGTTTGAAAATACTTTTAATGCATAGTTTTGGACAAAGACAACCTGGTTTAGACATCAAATAAACGGTTGAGTCCCTCTCTCATTCTGTCGCATTTTTCCTTGGGTACTGCGTTTTACTTCTTGCTACGTCAATTTATAAAACAAATTCAGAAAAATTTAATTTGAAATCCCAACTCATTTATTTGACGTGGAGCAATATTCAATACGTGAAAACCTGCAACGTGGTGCTCATCAAGCTCGTCAGTCTTCTATGACAAAAAGCAAAAACCAATTGGAATCCAAGATAACAATAAACGTCTACCACGTGTGTTAATAGGCGCTTTCAGTTTTTTTGAATTCGAGATATCTCAAGTTTTCAACCGCCCTTTAAGGATCCTTAAGTACTGGTCAATCCGTATTCACTTAAAGATGAAAATGCTTTTGTATATAAAATATGTATATAGGTCAAAAAAACGGGGAAGTTAGTAACAATTGGAGAGGTGCAGAAGTAAATCTACAAATTCTTGCAAAAAACATCTCCATTTCTAGACAACCCCTCTCAAAACTCCAATGCCCTCTACATTAATTTTTTAAGACGAAAACGAGCATTGACTATAACGTTGGAATGCCTTTCAGTTATACGCAAGCATATGAACTCAAGCATTTTGGATTAACAACTTTCAGTAAAAAACAGAAGTTCCTTCATAGAGTGGAAAATTGTTATCTCAAGTTAAAAACTAATCTCACTAATATATTTATTTTTTAATAAAATGATTCTATTCTATCATTTGGTGGGACTGTAATGAGAAAAAATTGAACGGTGATAACAACAATAACACAAGAAAGACAAGAGGTCAATACGTAAATGTACAATAGGTAATTTACATACCTCAAACGTAATTGCAATAGAATACCTATCTTAAGTGTTTACATAGCATGATATTAACATTGAGCAAGTGATGATGAGATGTTATGGCGGAATGACAAATGTACAGGCGCAAATATGGGTAAGTTATCTGATGGCAAGGAATAAAACAAAATCAAATCAATGACTTAAAACAACTCTGCATCTGAGTCGGTCGGCATAGAATCAGTCTGAAAGAAAAAATGAGATGAGTGAAATACTCACGAATAATACCTGAATCAAAACGGTATTTAATTCAGCTAAAGTCGGAAAACAGTTGCCGTCACAAGAGATTCGATAAATCACTGTGGGAAAATTCAGTAAAGGAGAAGAACACCTCCAAAAAGTCGATCCAAATTAGAATGCTTTGAATAGTTTGGTGGTGGTAGATGGAATATTAGTGTTGCTCAAGTCTAGAGAACAATTTCAACTGTTTTGGTGTCTATAATTTATTTCAGTGCACTGTATTAATAGAATCCTGTTTGAGAAAGCAAACTTATTATAACGCCAAAGTAAACATAGAAAAGTGAACGGTTTAGAAGCCTAATGCCCCTTTTAACTGAGAATAACTAGAAAGGAAATGAGTTACATCGATTATACTGGAGATTTCCATGGTATTGCCATCTGCCTTTGTAGAGGAAGTCTCTGAGGATAGACGGCGAACGGAGTTGATGTCTGTTGCGCTGAGCCACTGCTTTTCGCAGAAAAACACCCCACAGTGGGGCTCCTTCTCCACCTGTTCCCTGTCGCTCCCAGTAATAGCAACGCTGTGCGCCGGGAGGCGACGGTGCCGATCACACGCAACTTTCAGGAAACGGCGCTCAAAAATGTCAACCTTTCTTTCCTTCTCAGAGAGACTGTCGGTCATGCGGTCCGTCAACTCAATTGTGAGCTTTTCAATACTCTGAAATTAATTGTCAAAGTCAATGATGACCTAACGTCCAGACAGCGAAGTGGTTTTTGGCAATTAACACGGGAAGCTCGGATAAATAAAACATCAACTAATCAATAATTGCAGAAATGATATCACATTAATAAACTGTATAATGAACAGGCTTTTAATCAACGTTTGTTGATGTTTTGAGCTAAACCAGATGTCTTACTATTTTATATCTCAAAATTTAGCGTAAGAAATTAAACTTACACGTCGCATTTGTGAAGCCGTTACGCTGGGTGAAGTTGAAAGTGAGGAGGTGAAATTGGTGTCAACTGAAATACCCAGATAGGACTGATTGGTTGTTGTGGTTGCGGTGGTGACAGCAGTCGCCGGCACACTGGTATTCTCGGAAGCCCACAGAGAGGGGGACTTGGATGCAGCGGATTTCGCGTCCGCGCCCTGAACAGAGGTACCAGAGATTATGAGGGGGGATCGAAAGCGTCGTCCAGGTCGCTGTCGAAGACGAGGAGAGGAATGTCTGGACATGCTCAGAGTGGGGCACATTGCAGAGCGTTGGCAGGGAGGGCAGGAGTCGTTGACGTTATCAAGGCGAAGTGCTCGGAGCTGCTCGCTTGAAATTACTCGAGTCGAAAGCGATGGCTGAGGTCGCGAGTGGTAACTACAAGCACAAGTTATTAACTTCCGCGTGAGGCTTGTTATTTTGAAAGGTTGGCAGTCAAGTCAAAGAGAAGTTCAGTGGAAGGAACTACGAAAACATACAATCTCAATGAAAAATCGACAAATCCTATAAACTACATCAGATTAAAGCTTTTTTTAATAGAAACTATACAGAAAGAAACCTTGAGCATTTTTCCATTCAAAACAGCTTACGGGTCACCGGATTGAGGACGCATTTGAAGACGCTGGAATATGACCGTGGACCTGCTTCCGTTGAAACCGTCACTGTCGGAAGAGAGTGACGAAGACGAGAGGCTTGGCTCACGCTCCGGTACTTCCAGCGCATCCTGGTTCTGCGGTTCTTCACCAAAGAACATTTTTAATCGGAGAGCGGTGAGAGCCACGGCTTCGGATCTTGGGACTGTAATCATCGGTAGGGAGGTGAATTTAGCCAGATTCTGGGGCCCTTTAATGTGCGTCAAACTGGAACACCTCGAACACGCCCGGCCTCTTCCATGAAAAGAAGATACATTTGTGCGAAGCTGTTGGAAGAGGGAGTCTTCTGATGCTGATGGATGAGATTTCGGCGCAGTTACCTGGAAACATCGACGGATGAAAACAGCGTAAGCAATTTCACAGAGTGAAGTCCCGATTATTGGGTATTGGTAAACATACGTGCAGTTTTGGCAAAAGACGGGGGCTCATAACCAAGTCAAATTATTATTACAAACGAACACAGATGACTAATGCAAATATTGATTGGTTTAGTGATAAATAAAGTTTAATTAAGACTGTCCCACTACTTGTCAGTTAACAGAAATATCATGATAGGTCAGCTTAAATTCGCAAGGTACCTTAGAGAAACTTCCACTAGTGTTGACCAACATTCCATTGCGAGCATCTTGTCCTTTTCTCTGCTCATCATGTTGCGTCTCCGTCTCACCCGTATCAGGCCGAGTGTTAGACGGAACTTGCGCAGTTTTGGCAGTTTCACCGTCCGAGGGAGCATTAAAGGACTTGCGGCAAGTTTCGTTTTCATCGCCTTGGTACTCCGATTGAAGATCACCTACGCTAGCAAACCTCTTTAACTTAACTCGCCTAAATGGAAATATAAAGAAGGCATCAGAAGCTAAATTAAAATCTCATGTCTGATTTCGACTGATGCCACATTCATTCGCCAAAAATAACCTTTAAAAGGTTCGACAAGGAGGTAATGAATTCGCATCAACGAATTTTAGCTACACCAGATATGCATACATCCCGAGTGTTCGAAAGCGTCGGGTGGTAGCACAAATATGCCCAATTTATTAAAAAAATTAATCCCGATTCTAATAATCTCTGACGTTTGGCCACAATCTCACAGGCAGCAGAGAAGGTGAAGGTAACTATTCAAGGTCAAGATCACGTGTCATTCCACAGTGAGAAACATCCTAGACGCGTTAGAAAACATTTGAGCGCAGACTACTTGAATTTCTGGAAAGTTCAACACGTTTGTAAGGGAAAACCACAAAAACAAACACAAAAAAACCTACACTAGTGAGGCATTTTCGACCAGTTTCGAGCGAGTAGCTGCATACCATGCACGGAACCTACGCGAGGCTCGGTTAACCGTGGGCGATTTATTACCACTACCCGCACTCGGGTTTCGAATGGCTGTCTTGAGACGACAGTGCGAGTGGAGGTCCTTTTGGGCAAGAGGAATCAAGGAGAAGGCAGGATGCCGCTTCGAAAAGTTGACAGCTCCGCACTTTCTGCAGGTGAACTTCGCCTCCGGTTCCCGCTTCCTTGAATCACACGACTGAGGGCGATGAGCGGGAAACGGTGACCTCACCGCGGAGTTGTCGACCCTGAAAGGCGTGTTACTGCGACTTCGCTCGTATATCAGCCGCTTATACCGACTTCGTTCCCTAGTGTACAAAAATAACGGAGGCATAACTACAGGACGCCTTAAGGGAAGGTTCTTCGTGTGAAAGTAGTTTGTACACCAAGGTTACCCCACAGCTACACAGGTGACAGCATCGTTTGTAAAGAGGCTTTGTTGAAGAAATAGCAGAGGAAAAACAATCAAACGCCAGCAGCAAATGTACAATAAATTTGAACTGCCAAGCCACAGCAGCGCATTTGCAGCGGGCATGCAGTTTTAGGAAATTGCTGAACAGTGCTGAGAAACTTATATTACAAAGAATAGGCCAAGACAGATAGGTGCCTTCAGTACTTTGGTTGCAAAGATAGCATTTGGGAGACTTTGCAGCCGAACAGAGAAACAACTATGGAGGATGTTTGGAGAAGCTTTTTAAATGAAGGAACTATTTTTCGCATACACCAGGCTGGGAAATTAACTCGAAATGAAAAAACGTACAGTAAAATTTGTGTTTAAAAGCACTCGATTTTAAAGTAGATTTTGTTGTCATATGCATCAGCCTTTTTTCTTCAAAAAGTGGTACAGGAGGCACTACTAAAAGGAACGACAAGCCAAAAGATAAATAAAGTCAGTTGAACGTCTTTGAAGAACAAAGTAAAACACCAGTGAGTGCGCTTTGCCATTTTGGTGACACGGATTTAACCAATTGCCTGCGGCATTGTATACCTTCACATAACATGAAGCGATTTCTGGTAATAATTGGAACAGCCTGCTTATGAAAGTCACATACTAGTATCAAAGTACACTTTACACTTTATTGGCCAATTAGCGTTTTATAAATGAATCAAAACGAAGGTTGGTCTCGCTAAATACATAGATGAACCACGAAGTAGGTAAGATTTCATTTCGCGATTTCCAAATTTAACCTACAACACAGTTGGGCAAGCCGAGCAAGATTGAATTCAGATTCCGCCAAACAATGAGATTCTGTTGCAGGCAATGCATTGACAATTACAAAAAGGCTATAAGAAATCGTTTGCACTTCGATGGCGCAAACAAATCGAACTCAAGGGCTATCAAGTGTCGGTGTTCGAAAGAGGACCCCGAGAATCCAACAGAGCCGAGGTTTGAAACAGCCATGAGACCAAGCAGAGAAGAGAAAACTCACTACTCACCACGTAAGCATGGTTGTTAAGGGTAAGGCAACTTATCCAGAGGGGAGCCACTTAGCAATGGAGACTTTCAATATTAGCAAATTCACAATCAGCCAAACTCACTGGGCCACCTTTTGCTGCTCTTTCTCCAGCTCCTCTGTAAGAGCCTTCAAGTGGCTGCAGAGCTGGTTAACACGCATTAGCTTCTCCTCGTAATTTTGTCGGATGTTTTGTGCATCTTTTAACTCCTGTCGACGACGACGCATCAGAGAGATCTCGAGCCTCGGAGCACGTGAACCCTCTTTGAGTAGGTCCTGCACACCAAAGCAGCACAAACCATGTCATTACTTACGGTTAAAAGTAGAGCTACGACGCATACAAGTAGCACACAGAAAGTCATTGTACAATAAATCTTTTGATTACCTTCTTGTTTTAAGATTTTACTGTCTTTTCTAGTTAACTCGAGGATGTCTCGGGTTACTAGGTGGTCTTCCACCATACAGCCTTACCCACCGAAGAAAGACAGGGCAATCAGTGAGACTACTTGAAAAACTCGTAAGGCAGGACTTGAAACAATTGTCGGGTAGTAATGATAAATTCTATATCTGCATCATTGGAGAGGTCACTATTCCCCAAGACATGCTCTCTTTCTGATTCTGTCAATATTTTGCAACAATCTTGTGTTTTGATCCAAATGAGAAGCTATCGAAGCATTCCGAGAATGCTTCAAACAAGCATTAGGAGACAGGATTGGCGTTCGACTGTCCGATTTCTCCTTCTTCTCCTTCAATTGCGAAGTGTTTCACCTTTCTTGTTGCGCTACTTGGGGATCCATGTTCTTGTGCCGTGTGTCAGGGCTTTGGCCATAACTAACACCGCTACTTTCGACGTAGCTTGTGGACGGTTTTATGGCTCCATCTCACTAATAGGCTACAAGTGACTTATACGCGACCACGACCTACATAAGATCAAGATAGTCCAATCAGAATCGGTCACAATGGGGACGGCATAAAGCCGTATGGATCACACTACACAACATACTCTTTAATTGAAACATATAAAACGCAGATTAAATAAACGCAATGACCAGCCTGTCATCAAGACTAAGTGTTCGATATTAGCAAAACGGCACTCCTAATAAGTAAAGTGAAATGGGAAAGGGATAAGTCAGTATTTACAAAGTCTACCAGGCATTCCACAAGTGAAGAAACAAACCCTTAAACGAAGGTGGATTTCCTCCTGCCAGAATTCACGCAAAGAGTTGAAATTTTCATCTTTCCATTGAAGCAATTCATTGTAGGCGAGTTCTAGTTGGGAAAGGATTTGCGGAAAACTTGGCCGGTTTCTTGGTTTGGGGCACCTGAAATATGACTAGTCGTGATTAACGGTCCCACGAAACACAAATTAAGCCTGCATAAATACTGTTTTTGTTATTGCTAAATATGAGTAAACCGATCCTAAAAAATTACTGTAATTTAGGTCCCATTAACCTAAGCAATCTTAATGTCGCTAAATCCAACATATTTGAAATACCTCTAGCAGGATATGAGCTAGAAAATTTGCGTAAGGGTGAAAATAACGTTGAATTCAATTGCAAAAGAGTAATTCAACGATAAGCATATGCATAGACATTGTTGTGACAGTATATCTTGAATCTGCCCTGTGTATTTGCACGAGTCTTGAACTAAAGCACCGAATACCCGTACATGACGCTTTGTGCCAGAGGATAGTATGATCTCCACTTACGTTAGATTAGTCCCGATTCACAAATTATGGATCTTAATTAGGAGATGCATTTAATCTATTGGTCGCCATCAAAGTTAACCTAGCTGATCATCACTTTTAACATGCATGGCATGGGCGATTAACACTCAGAAACAAATTTGAAAAACAACAATTGGGCACAGTCGGAGAAACAAGTCAAAACAAACATAGGATAAGTAAAGCGCGAAGCTGTTTACAAATAGTTTTACGTGGTTATGCGTTACTTTGACAGTGTATTGTCTCTTTAATATGATTCAAGTTAATAGCCCATTCCCAGGGCGAAAAGTACGGACAATTTCAAAAATATGAAACGAAAATAATAATTTAGGAAAATTAGTACTTAAATTATTAAATAAGGCTCTACTTAATTCTTTCTACTGAGGTCTGTGTTGAGTATAGGGCCAACATTTGCGTTTATTCCAAACTGCCGCTTGGCCCTGCTTATTTTGGGTGCATATATCCGTAGCCATAGGAACCTGTTGTTTTCAGATTCCCTATAGGACAATCATGATAACGGTTACATCAACAAACATTCCAACAGTCCCCTGTTGTCTCGCCACTCACGTGGGAGGCCATCTCCACCCGCCACATAAAGTATAAGTAGCAACTTATCAGCGAGCGAGAGGTTGGGGGTGGATTATCTCAAAAGACTACCATCGGTGACGTCCTAACATTCTCGCGCTTACAAAAGTACCCAAGTTTGCACTGTTTACAGGGCACACTAAATATACTACCACGAGTAACAAAAAAACCGGGCTGTGTGCAAAATAGGCGATAATGTGCGTGTGGGTGCCACTACTGTCTCTCTTTGGTCAAGGACACTGAATATTAGCAAGGTTATGAGGCACCGAGGCGCTGTCTCTAAAAACTTCCGTCTGCGCCGGCATTCTCTTTGCCGCCAGTAAATAAACCGAATGACGACGGCAATGAACAAGCACCTCAAAGGTAATTAAAATCGTGCTTTCGACTTCGTCTCTCAACCGTTTGGAGACAAGGGGCATCGGAGGTTGGAAGACTTTGGTTAAAATATTTGCAAAAAAAGAAAAAAAAATATCCGCTCCTATTGATGGGCTTTAAGGTGCATGTCACGCAGGGAAAACCAAAAGGTTGCGGATTTAAATCTTCAATAAGAGGTAAGGGTATTAACATCCCAGGTTGAAACACAGAACTGACCTTATAAACGCAGGATATTAATGCCATATAACATAAGTTAGGATTAAATTGGCCTTCAGCCACCAGGCTAACTAGCAAACTCCGCGGACACCAAACGTTAACCACGTGCCGCGGATAACACACATTCCTCTATTCAAGCAGCAGGCAGCTTGCAAGCCGCCTTACGTCTCACGATTGTCAATAAGAGCAGCAATAATTGCAGAAATGCGTAGTTAGACCTAAATGACTTTGGCGACTTACCAGCAACGCTTCATCAGCACACGAAACTCTGTGGGACAGTCCGTTGGGATGGGCAAACTGAAGATGTTGCTTGCGACTCCGTAAATTATTGCCCCATAGTCCACACCGTTGAAAGGCACTTCACAAGTCAGGATCTCCCATACCAGCACACCGAACGACCTAGTTGCGACAGCAGAACGACGGTCAGAGCACCACATACGCATGGCTAAGGTAAAACTAATGTGCTAACACGAAAAGATACGGTTAAGGTACTGAACCGATTCTAACAAAAACATGATTATAAAGTGCTTTTTAGAATCAGTACGGATGGCTTTAATGGGGGCAGCAGTCACCTTTAAAATAGCGGACGAATGTGCTATTTCGTGTCTGCGTAAACATGGAGTTTTGATGAAATAATTGAACACTTTGAAAAAAAAACAAATGAAAACCATGTGTAAATTAATAGCCTTAATCTATATATCAATTTATAATTGTTATTGCATTCACTTCAATTAATTTACGTCGCATTTCAAAAAAAACAAACATCGTCTATAATCATCCGCAAATGTGTTTTGAATGGAAATGTTAAATGGGGTTTCAAAATTTAACACACACACACACACACACACACAATATTCAGATCGATTTTTAAGTTTTCCAATAAAATCGCAAGTTAACGAGATGTCTTGGTAGCTGTTTTCCACTTAAAGTTCCAGCAAGTGATTTTGGACCGGCTTGTGGATTGTGGCACAAACATACCAGACGTCGACCTTGAAGGAGCAGGGTTCACCACGCATGATTTCCGGAGCCATCCACGCAACAGTCCCGGCGAAGGACATCTTCGTCGAGTTCTCGTTAAACTCCTTCGAGACCCCAAAATCTGATATCTTCAATTCACCATCTTCACCAATTAATATGCTAAAAAAGAGACAAAAAAACATGTAAGACTTGCGTTTGTACGTTGATGGCAGTCATTCGTAGCAGCCGATGTTTGATCTAAAGTAATCATTTTTCACCTTAGGAACCAGTCTAAAGAGTTACCATGTAGAATGTGGATTTTTTTATTACTGGTTTTAGATTAGTTCTCAATGAATCTCCTTTTACAACTATTCACTAGAATTGGGATAGTAAATATGCTTAAGCCGTCGAGAATAATAGCACACCAAAAACTAACTCGAATCAGAAGCTGAATTGGACTGATGGCACTTTAATGACTTCTGAGGTCTTATCAACACCGAAAGTGCCCAAACGAAACCGTTATCGAGTGGGAGATAACGTGCTTTGGGAAGCAAAAGGGTCAATGGCTATTATTACCATTGCCACTCGTAACTCCGGTGTACACGCGAAATCCAAACGATTTGTCAACAAAAGCTATCTTGGTTCAAAGAATTGTAACACCAAATTTGTCATGGTAAGAATTCACGCGTGTACAAACAAAAAATGCGAGGGAAAACTCATGAAACGTATGACTCCTGGTCTGAAATTACAGCATTTCGAGTGAAAGTAGATAGAAAGGAAAAAGCATTTTAGCTTAAGATTACTACTATCGCATTAGTTGACGCTATTGACATGGTTATGAAGTAAGGGGAAGACCAAGTGAAACGTTTGTATGCAAATACAACTTTCTTCCCGTGGTGTTATTTTAAACACCAGACCAAAAATTTACTAGTTTTTGATTGGGCTAACAAAACCAGAAAAAAGTCCCGAAGTGGAAACCATTGAGAGCAAGTGCACTGTAAAGAATTTGCAGCAGAATTGAATCCCTTGCCAAAAATGATCTCAGGCTGGTGCTTCAAACTTCAACAACTGCCTAGTCAAAGTTTTATCATTTCCTAGGAACACCTGTTGTGGGCTCCAGCATGTGGTCTTGAACCACGCCGGGGCCACGGAATTAACCCTGGCTCGATTACGCTTGCCTGATGCCCGCGATGAAGAAAAAGACTGGGGAGGACGTGGACACAACCGTTTACTTCAGAGCCCAACCGAAACTGGTGTCGTTGTGTCGTGTGTGGGGTTTGCGCGTGTGTATTTATACCTCGGATGTGTGATCCATACATGCGCTAACATCGAGACCTAGGTGTGGGGATACTCCAAAATAAATATCCGTGTGAATGAGGAGGGAGTTGAGGATCCGCGGGGCTGGCGACATGCTGTGAAAAGGGGAACCCTGTGTCGGAGGCGGAGCGATCGGATTAAGGGGTTGACTAAACACGATTCACAACACACCTAAGGTACGTGCTCAAGTAAAGTTAAATAATGGTAATCCACTCGCATGTAAACTAATTCCTAATTTGGCGGCCAATAGTCAGATGATGGACCACACAAGACATAAGAAAAAAAAGTGACCCACATGCAGAATAAACCTTACTTCGGAGATTTCAGATCCCGATGGACAACCTTGTGGCTGTGCAGGTAGTTCATGCCTTGGGCGATTTGTCGCGTCCAGTCAATAATGTTGTCTATATTCACGGGGAGATTGTTGTGAAGCAAGTCGAAGAATGTCCCATTCGGACAATACTCCATGAGGATGGAATACCAAGGTCCATCGATGGAAACCCCTCTGCCACAAAAAGAAAAACCGCATTTTAAATTTACTCCAAGTAAATTCAAAAATATTTGTTTGAAATCAGGGATTTTGACCGTGGAGTATATCATCATGAGTTGGTGTGAGATCACGCAAGGTGCAGTTGGACGAACCGATGCACGAAAGCTGCTAAACGCACGCAGTTTCAGGAAAGCATTGATGGTTTGGTGAGTAATTAGAAATAGTTCTTTTTGTTTACGAACAAAATCCACTACTTCGAATAACTGAAATGACTCGAATGAGTGTTTTAAGTCTTCTTTTGTTAAGTTGCTAAACTTATTTTTTAATTGGCAACCCAATCAATGACCTGTAAAATAAAATTTCTCAGTTATGCTAATCATTTTCTTTCACGAATAAAATAGGAAAGGAGGAAAAGACGCATGCGGTGAGTACAAAAACGTTTTTTAGATGTTACCACATGCGATATCGCTAAAGAAACGTTATCACTTATCTACAGTATAATACAAGATTAGAACTATTAGGGAACGGATGTTCGCTAAATAAGCTCGATTTTTGACCACAAAACAAAATTCGACTAATTTCAGGAGACATCATTAGCACTGAGAAGTTAATGAACTCGCATATTCGACTACAGACATGACATAATGGGTTCAGTGGCTTGTGAAGGCAAACAGCGGTGCAAGGCTCGAGAAAAATACTGCGCTAGGTACTTGCGAGCCCCCAGAAGCTACTACCAATATTCAAGAATTTGGAGAAAAGGGTAAAAAACTGCCGAGTTTCGATTCTGCCTTTTGCCTCCTTCGGAAATGAGATCCTACTATCTAGTGTCAGTACATGTGCTTTAGTATAGACGCTGGCTGAGGTGGGCAAGACAGTTTGATTTTCGGCAAATACAAAAAGAACCGTGTTTGTACGCGGGTCACAAGATCCTTGTGCGCACCGAGACGGCAAAATTTAGCCTAGCATTTCGTGCATGTGCGACTGCGCGTTCATTGGTCGTTGGAAGGTTACTAAATTTGCGCAACCAAGGCGGGAGACGCGTGTGCCACCTTGCGCGAGCGCTGCACATTGGCAATTGGATTAGGCGCGCGCGCGCTTAACGCAGTGGTCGAAATCCGTCCAAACATTGGCGGACATCTGGGACCCAAGCAACAGCCCCATAATTCAATATGGGAAGTCGTTGATTTTGGTTAAAAATTACAAACTACGTAAATGGCTGGTATCAGGTTCATTACCACAATTTGTGCGATAAAAAAGTCACGTGGAGTGTGAACCAAAAAAAACACGCTGACCAGAATCCCCGATAAATGCTGAATAAGACAAAAAGTACAAAAATACGTAGGAGAAAACTGCAAGCGTGATAAGTGAGAAAAGGGCGACAGCAATACTATAACGGAAAAAAGCTGACAAAACTAGAAGGAAGGTAGCAACACTAATAGTAAAATCAAATCTCCCTCAATTAAAGCTTCGAAAATATGGCCTTCAGGATGGTCGGCCTTGACCGCAATGTCGCCGTGGCAACTCACAGAAATTGCACCACATTTTTATGACAAAGGCCTCTGAGATGTCGGATTTCAGTTTCCGATTGCTTGTTCACTTTCTTGACAGCGATCACGCGGCCGTTCAGTGTTGCCTTGTAGACAGAACCTTGTGCCCCAGAGCCAACATATTGAAGATCAAGAATTTGAGATGGTGGCCACTCCCATTGTGGTTCTAAAACATTCAAGCAAGCATTCAAGAAAACACATTCAAGCGTTGGGGTCACGAGTGGAGCACAATTCAGTATTTGTGAATTGAAGATAAAAGCACACAGTTTAATGATTTTCACTCTTAGACGAGCCCCATTAATTGTTGCGTGAGGCTTATCTTAATTCATGGAATTTTGCAAAAATACGCATAGATTTAGCTGGAATAAATTAAATCATTTGAATGACAAACTTGAGACAGATTACATAGTGTGGAACAAAAAAAATAGTTCTTGATGCGCATGAAATCAGGGCGTTTTAAGAGAAACCGTAATGACCTTAAACTAAAGATACAAAACAAGATCAGGAAACAACAGGAGTTCTCAGATAGGCCTAAAATTTATGAATGCGTCGATTTAAGCTTTTAGTTCAAAAACGTGTCGGAAGGTCGTACTGGAAAGATGTCAACTACTAAAGAATCAAATGTCTAACAATAACTGATACAAAAGTCAGCCCTAGGCGGATATAACATTCCCAGTCTAAAGATATCCAAATACTACACAATACGTGTGTTAGATTCAATTGTTTGCGAAGAGGATTCATTCACGAAACCACTTACACCCAACTTCTAAAGGCATGTAAGGTCACAGCGATAGTCGCTTTGCTCAAGAGAACATTTAAAAAAAGGAAGAAAGGAAGTCAGGAATCATCCCCAGTGAATTGGGAAGTTTAGTGGATCATCGTGACAAATGGTTGGTCCCATTAGATAAAAATGGCACCGATTCGAGTCATTTTATCAGTTGTACTAATTTAATTTCGAACACTAAAAAGTCCTCTTCATTTGCTCTAACAAAAAAATAAGCAGTTTTGGGAATGAGTAAGGTATAGCAATGTGATCATATTTTTTACTGAGAACACAATTCCAACCCCTATTATAAGCCAGTAACAAAAATTCATTTGAGGAAATTATTAATAAAACGATCAAATGGAGAAGAAAAATTACAAATTAAAGGGATAATTAGAAAGACTATGAACACGGTGACTGAAATAGTAGATGCAACATTTTTACTGAATGGCAAAAGAGGAAAAGCAGTAGGAAATAAGGCAGACTTTCAAGAAACCGCAAACAGTATAAACTGCAACACCAAGGAAAACTCACTGTTTTGGGCTCTTTTGCCATTAAATTCTCCCGTCCAGTACACTCACAGAATTGATGATACTGACTCAGATTTTCTAATTTTTCAAGACGAGCATAAGTTTGTGTGCGAATAAGGTGGGTCAATTCCAGGTAATGTTCGAAAGAAAAGGTTTAAAATTCTACACAGGAGTCATGATATCAGAAATGGCTGTCTCTAAAAACGTACTCGACATCATTTATCATAAACTCATATTTGACTTAAATGTATTTATTTTTTGGAATCCTATAGGTTTGCTTCGTATATTTAAGTATCCCGCCTGCTCCCTGGACATACACTAGGAACCTAAAATTACGCCCGAAATTCTAATTTAGCGCAAATTCATTGGTTTATTGTGTGTATAAGGAACTTTATTAAAGGCCTGAATCCTGAATCAACAAATGATTGCGTACATCATGGAATGGCCTTAGCTTTTTTCCAACCGTTGAATTACTGCTTGAAAAGCAAGACTGATAAGCGGGTGCTGGAATTAAGCAGACGATTAATCGACAGATCTCACACAAAATGTGCATTTCTGGGAAAAAAAGGTGTTTAGACCTACGACGAGGCAAACAGAATTTATGCTTAATTGTCAGTAGTTCGCAATTTGGCTAATTTGTCGGCAGTTTGATATTTATGAGCCGTTTGCCTACTCGGCCCGATGAAAAATGAAATCGCAAAACACAATTTTCTTAATCACGAGGAACAAATGTTTGCCGGTTTAAGGAAATCGATATGCATACCTTCCATCGACTTGCAAGACATCGAGTCCCCGTTTCTTAAAAACAGTCGAACAAACGGCCGAAAACAGCCTAGAAACTCCTCCAAGTGACGACGTTGATGACCATCTTGTGACGGCACATCACAGATGACTTTTCCGTCGACCTCCGAAGGCGGCAGCGTTAAAGTAGACAAAAGATTTGGTACCGTGAGGGTTTGCTGTTCATCCCCTCGTGGCCGCAGAGTTGACAACTCCTCGGCCGGAGGAACAGCGGCCTCTTTGGCAAACGGACGATCAGTGATTGACACGACTGTGCTTGACTGGGCATAAGCAAACGGCTTAAAACTGATGGTTGCCGGTGACGACTGACCGGTTACTATCACATCCTCGTCCTCGTCGTCGCCGTATTGTGAAGAACCGGTGTAGGGTAGAAAAGAGGCTCGGATGGCAACTTGTGCGCAGACGGACTGAGAGGTGTCGTCCGAGAGGTTCCTGGAAGTCACACATAACTGGTTTTAGGAGTCGTGAATTAAGGCGTCGTCATCTACCATGCAGGGCTTCCGAAACGTGGCAATGTATGCACGCGACAATTCTTTAAATTGCCTGCAACTGTTTACCATTTTTAAGGCTAAAATCCAAACAGAATATCTACTTTAGCTTGCTAGTAAAAGATATCCATTCGCACACATGAACGTATTCCGTAACACATTCTAGGGATTAATGTCTGCTAATGATAAGATGAACCCACACGAGAAATCAACCAAAATGTAGCTGTGGCGAAGATTTTCGAAGAAACGGATCGTTTTACCATTTCCGCAAACAAAGACAAACAACGATGTCTAGAAATGAATTTAAAATTGAACACCATGTAATTCCAATCCATATAGTGGCCTTTTTTGGTGGACGGAGTCTACAGTTTATTTGGCCACTAATAGTTAAGGCGTTCAATGATAATGACTAGTTTGAGTTCAGTTAGTTTAATAACAGCGAAGGCATTTCGTACTACAGCATACCTCACGTGAGGAGACAATGTTTTTTTTCGTTTATGCAACGAAAAACAAAGCTTGTAGCGCCATATCGTATTTGGTTGTGTGGATCAGTTAGTTAGTTAGTTAAGATGACCAATTACCAGTTTTGTGCTGAGCCAATGAAGCCAATAAACCAGAGTATGAGCTAATTGTAGTCAAAGCTACTGAAAAGTCGTCAGTAAGAGGGCGCGGGACAAGACGCAGCGGTATTTCTGGATGCGAGTAGCAAGATGCCTGCGACAAACCCTTGAATTGTCCTTAACTTGTTAGCCACAAAACACCCCTTAAACAAGCTTGCGAGTTGAGTTTCCTAGGCTGCTAAAAAGACGCATTTGTTTAAAGGAAATGGTAATACTTGTCGCAAGTGCCTTCTTGAAAGATTGGTTGGCATTAAAAAATAATGTACAAACTAATTAAATACGACTTAATTTCAGATGCCTCAGAAGTGCAAATAACTTCAGATTCATTAACAAACTTGAAATTATTAAGTCAAAAGTGGTGTTGTTCGTGCCGTTAAAATAGGGATGGTTACAGTCCCCTCCAAGCATTCGTTAATGTTTACATCCCCTAGCCCTTACTAACACACACACACACACTATTGACAAGCACCACTGTAACCCAACTGGGCTGGTCATTAGATGTTTGTGTCCAACTAATGCCGCTATCATAAACACACACACACACCACACTATCTAACCACGCATCGCACACAGACCAAAAACAATCACACGATCGAATTTTGTCAATACCAATAACAACACAAAAGGCAACAAAGACAAACAAGACTGCTCAGTTTTTTTAACACAAACTACAGGGAGGACTGTGATGGGGAAACGAGAATAAACCGAATTCTGTGACGAAATACTTATCAAAATGTACAGGTGTGCAAACGAACAGTGAAAGCTTGATTTTTAAACCTTACCAACAGCACGCAAAGTACTGGTTACCGTGCATTTCGAATGTCGAAAAAAAGGGCAATCAGGGTTTGGGCTTGCCTGAGAATGGGTGCGACTTTTGGCAAGGGATGGCACTCTCGTTGCCAGGTGAAAGCTTGCGAGTCGGTGTCCGCCGATAGGAGAGACGACGTGTTACCGTCTTCCCGGCCAGTGACAAAACCGCTTGACGACGACTGAGTGAATGATAATTCACTGCATGCTTCGCCTTAAACCGTGGAGGCAGGAAAACCGAGTTAGGGGAGTTTGATAAGTTTACAATGTTACAGAACTCAGCATAGAGGTTGAATTTCCTCAAGTTCAAACGGCCTCAACTTAGCGTGTGCTCAGATCAAAAATCCGGAAAAAAGAGCTATTTCATATGGGTGAATTACCCACAGCAAAATTCAAACATATGTGACAACAAGATTTGGTTGTAGAAAGTTTCGAACACGAGGTTGAGGCACTACTTCATTTGTTTAGCTCAGAGCTACTACTAAATAAAAAGGTGCAAAAACAGTAGATCGCGAGGATATGAGGCAAGGAGCTGCCAATCTAAAAAGAGGGAGCAGATAGGTGTGCGCGCAATAGTGCCTGCTTGATTCATCGCGCAGTAATTGTGACCGCTTATTAGGGTTTCGAGAAAGGGTGTGCAGAGGCAACCGGGAGATTAAACCCAGGAAGATTATCGGGAGGCCGTTACTCGAACAATGGATTCTTACTGACGCGTGCATCCCCCCGTAATACACGGTTCTTAATTCTTACCTCCGGCTTCACACCCTTTACTCCCACATATAACTATGCATGTGAAACATGTACAACATGGCCTTCGTCGTCTCTGAAATTATCGTTCTCTGATGTGTACCGGGCCGCAGCAACCCCTGCAGGTCACTTGTCCCAATGTGCGTTCGAGTCCTGCATTGCGACCTTAACAGGTTGAACTAAGCTCGGGTTGACATAACAAAGTGCCATGGCAATTGTTCGATTTTTTCTAAACTTGATAAAATAAATGCTTGAAAATCAGAAATCACAACACAGAAGAGAGCGCATTGATTACCGTATTGCTAAAAGGCATGCAAATTGTTTTGACGCCACTTGGTGCAAAGCTAGCCCTGCTTTCGTCCTCTGAGGCATGTATAGATGCATGG